TGGCCAATAAGATTTTTTTTCCATTATATTATTTTAATAGTTATTGGTGGATTGAAGTTTTACCATGTTTAGACGGCGGAGTCAAGGTTGGATTGATTGAACCGGATCCGATCCGGACGCTTCAAATCTTTTCTCCACGTCTGCAAATATTCAATACCGGCCTTTGCAATAACTATTGCAAGAATTTTGTTGTGGTTGTTTAAATATCTCCTCTATGCAGAGACTGAGCCACAATTTAATAGGACATGTTTGTTTGTATTGCATTACAAAGCAAACATAATGCATTAGTAGATTTACTCCATGTGAAGAGGTTAGCGTTTGTGAGTAGTTGTTGAATAAGGTATTTTTTAACGAACTTATAGAAAACCTCGGACATTTATATAGTTGACTGAACCATCGTATTATCTCGGAGCTAATGATATGCTCTTTTATTGACTTCACAAGAGTGCCTTGGCATTGCAACAACGAGAGATGATTGAAATTTGTTTCATATTGTTGTTGTTGTGGAGCATTTATTGCTGGTTTTATTTCATCATTTTCTGGAATGAGGTTGTCAATCTTTCCGTAGGAGTTATGAGATTCATTCCATAGCAATCTTATTTCCTTGCCGGAGTTTTAATTTTAATAACTTGGCGTGGTATTGTAGCGATTTTATGTTGAGGCCCACAGTTTTATACGTCAGCGAGTTAATTTCAGCGATGCAGCGGTAATTTAGCCGGTTAGCAAAAAGCTAAACTTTGGTGCAAGGTGAAACAAAAAAATTATCTGCGCCTGGGTTGAGTTTTAAGGACATTGCTGTTACGCTCAGAAAGTTTTCCTAAAAATTTAAAAGAATTATTTACAACGCGCGCTTCAAATGCTATAGGTTGTATGGAGGCCGAACCTGGGCTAACAAAAATCGTTCGTTTTATTTAAAAACTTTTTTGTTCAATGGCTTCAATGGGAGATTTATTTCATAGCCATCTTATTTCCTCGCTGGCGTTTTGTTTGAAATACCCATGGAGTTTTAATTTTACCCACGAAGTTTTAATTTTAATAACTCGGCGTGGTGTTTCAGCGATTTTATGTTGAGGCCCACAGTTTTATACGGCAGCGAGATAACTTCAGCGATGCAGCTGCTTATAGGCAGAGACAGCCATTCTCTTACCGCTTCTGTTATAAGTGTGCATTCTATCTAGGTCAGCGACATATCATAGGTACGTAACTCAAATATTATTTGAGAGGGGACAAAACGTCTAAGAATTTTTAGCTTCCATTGAGCTGCCGTGTCCAGTTTTTCAATTTTTTACAGCAAAATTTTGAGTTTATCACACATTTCCTTTTTCTCTGATGTTTTTGCCTTTAAAATCGTACATTATTCCCAAGTATTTAAATTGATCAATTCACATGGGGAATTTTTTCATCGTTTATTGTTAATTGGGGTAGAAATTGTTCATATTTTTCATTGATTTTTCTTATTCCAAATGTACTACATTTGTCTATTCTTAATTTCATACCCGTTCATTTACACCAAGCTTGGTTCAAATTGATCAACTTCTGGGCACCCTCAGAACTGTTAGCAATGATTGCTCAGTCGTCAGTAAATTGAAGCCAACCCCTAAATTTTAATTTGGCTGTAGATCACCTTATATATCTGCACTGCTGGTATTCTTTTGCTTCGAGTATTTTCATCAGAGAATTGAAACAAAGATTAGATAGCAGTGGAGAGCTCGGGTCACCTCGTAGAACCCCTTTTTTATTTGGATAAATGAGGTTAGTTTGTTGCACACCGATACAGTTATCGAGTATTCGGCGTATATTGATCTAATCAGATTGCTGACCTGACTTGGGATGTGGTGATAACTTAAAACTGATCGTGATTAACCTCACCGAATGCAATGCGTAAATCCAATAAGGTAACAATAATTGTTCTCTGATGTTTTTAGCGTCTTTTAGCAGATGAGATAATAATTGCGTGTGTTCAGCTACACCGTCAACTTTGGCATAGAAATCTTTTTGAATGTTTTTACTGATGAGATTATTTAAATCTACATAGATGTTTGTTTACTCTATTGTTTATGAATGTGGAGAAAATTTTATAGAATACTGGTTGAAGTGTTATTGGCCTGAAATTTGCTGGGTCGTTGGCATCATACTTTTTTTAAATCAATGTTGTCAGCCCTTTCCTCCAGAAAGAAGGGACCGCCGACGTTATCCAACATTCAACCAGTAACTGATGAAGGATTGTGCGGAGTATTGGATATTTTTTAAGAACTATTACTGACATCTGGTCCAATGGGCAAGGAGATGCTCTCGACTTCCATTTTCGGATAATTGAAAAGATTTCATTGTACGTGGGGGGATTGGTATAACAGACTATTGAGGGGTTTGATAATGTTTTAATCCAATTTGGTAGGCGATGTTTGTTGTAGCATTGATCCTTTGAAATGTTGTTGAAAAATTGTTTACATTCCTCGACGCTGAATTGGGACAATTTTTCACATGTCGCCCAAAATTTATGTTTCAATTGGTTTGTGATATCGAGTGTTTTTTTCATTTTATTTTGCTTTGTTCAATCAATCAATCAATCAATTAGCTTATAAAGCGCTATTTCCGCGATGTTCAACAGCGCTCCTCAATGAATTTTGAAAACAGATGGGTCTTGAGATCCGCTCTGAACTTCGCAAGTGATGGAGAAATAGTTAGAGAAGTAGGTAGAGAGTTCCAGAGAAAAGGACCAGAAAAAGCAAAAGCAGATTTGGCAAAAGAGTGTTTAACACGAGTTAAGAAAAAGCGAGAAGAAGAAGACGATCGTAAACCGGGGCGTTTAGGTTCAATTAATATATCTGATAAGTACTTAGGAAATAATTTAGATTGAGACTTATACATGAACGTGCCAATTTTAAAAATTATTCTATATTTTATAGGTAGCCAGTGCAAGAGAACAAGATATGGAGATATATGAGAAAAGAAAGGGGCACGAGGAACTAGACGAGCAGCAGAGTTAAAAGCTTTACTTAAAGGATAGAGTATAGAGTCAGGAAGACCATAGTAGAGCGAGTTACAATAATCAATCCTAGATAAGACTAACGAAGTAACAAGAAGGAGAAGAGTAGGATCATCAAGAAAAGGCAAAAGTTTTTTTATTCTACGTAGATGAAAGTAAGAGCTTCTAGCAACACTATTAATCTGAAAAGAGAGAGACATAGTAGAATCAAAGATAAAACCTAGACTACGAAACTTATGAGAGACATCAAGAGTTTTAGAATCAGGTAAGATAATAGGAGGAATAGTAATTGAGTGTTTAGATTTATTAAAACAAATTAATTCAAACTTAGAAGGATTAAGTTTAAGACACATAGAATCAGACCAAGCGATAATCGAAGAAAGACATAGAGATAAATTATGAAGAACACTATTGAGATTAGATGGAGGAAAAGAAGTATAAATATAAGAATCATCAGCATATAGTTGACTAGAGAAAGAAAAGTTATTAATAATACGAGGTAGATCAGAAGTATAGAGTATAAATAGAAGAGGGCCAAGGATAGAACCCTGAGGTACCCCGAAAGTAAGAGTAGAGGAGTTAGAAGTAGAATTATTGAGAACAACAGAAGAAAAACGATTACAGAGATAAGAAGAAAACCAAGATAGACAAGAATCAGTAATATTAAAAGAAAGATGCAGCAGTCTCAAGAGAATAGTATGGTCAACAGTATCAAAAGCTGAAGAAAAGTCAAGAGCAAGAAGAAGAGTAAGATTACTATTGTCACTAGAGAGAAGGATATCATTGTGTATTTTAAGTAAAGAAGTTTCAGTACTGTGAGCAGGTCTGAAACCAGATTGAGATACAGGTAGCAAAGAGTTAAAGTCTAAATAGGATGAGAGTTGATTAAAAACAACTTTTTCTATTATTTTAGAGATGAAAGTAATATTAGTTACAGGTCTTTAATTAGATAAAAAGGTAGGATCTAGGGATGTGTTTTTAAGAATAGGAATAACAATAGAATTCTTATAAGAAGCAGGAAATTTAGAGGTGGAAAGAGATAAATTAACTAATTTGAGAATGATTGGATAAAATATTGAAGAGAATTCTTTAAGTAAATTAGAAGGAAGTGGATCTAGAGAACAGGTTGTAGACGACATAGAATTAATAATTTTAGTTAGTTCTAAAAGATTTATTGGAGTAAATACAGAGAAAGATTCAGTAGTAAGTTTAGTAAAGTTATGAGAAGGAAAATTAGAATTAGATGTTCTTAAAGAAGTAATTTTATTTACAAAAAAGTCATGAAACTGTTGAGCAGAGAAAGATGAGTGAGAAGATTTTTTATGTAGAAGTTTAGATAGAACAGACCACCTATTTTTAGATGTTGAAGCAGATGTTATAGAATTTCTAAGAAAAGTAGAGTGTTTAGAGAATAGTAGATATTTATAATTAATCAATTCAGATTCATAGATAGAATAAAGAGAGTTAGATGGATTTAACCTATAGGCTTTCTCCAGTCTTCTAAGACTTTTCTTGGCTACTACACAAGCATAATCAAACCAAGGAGCCTTACGAGAATAGAGCCTATAAGTAAAAGATTTAAGAGGAATAAGCTTATCAAGAATAGAAGTAATGTAGATATTAAAAGCACAGACAAAATCATCAACATCAGAAAATAAGGTAGTATCAAAAATAGGTTCAGTAAGAGATTGAAGAAAAATATCTTTATTAAGAGAAGACCAGCATCTTTTAGAAATAGACATAGATGAATTTGAAGGAAGAAAATCTAATGAAAAAACAGATTCAATAAGAAGGTGATCAGAGTAAGGAACAGAGCTAGCAGAGATGATGCTATTCTTGATCTTATTTGTTTGCATAGCGTTTTAATTTGAAGGTCGAAGTTGTGGTTGTTGCGGCCTAGCAGCTTTAGTTGTTTCAATTCTTTCTTTAGTTTGTTGATTGGTTTGTCAAATGTTGTTGTTGAATTTGGTTGCCGTTTAATTGTGTCACAGGTTGATGCAAAGTAGTTATATATTCATGACTGAAAACTGGTGGTGAAGTTATCAATGTCGGCGATGTTTTGTAGAGCTGATCTTTGAGAATGGAAGTATGCATTGGCCTCAGACCATTGAATTGATGTTTTTGATAACTTTATCCTCGGAAGTGGAGTTTCTTTCATGACGTATCTGTTGACGAGGTCGATGATGGAGATGCCCGTTGGTGAGGCGAAGATGATGGTTGTGGTATCTTTGCCGTGGCGATATTTGTTGATGATGACGTCGATGGAGTCGCTCGCTGGTGAGGTAGAGGTGATAGTTGTGGTAATTCTGCGGTGGTGGTGGTGTTTCCTGCTGTCAGCATGCTGGAATCCTCATTAGAGTCGTTTGAATAATTTGTCGACTTTTTTATATTTTTGAATGTTTTGCACGAACGTTGGTGCATTCTCAGGTTCTTTCTACTTTTGCACTGTTTACCACAACAACAGGTAATTAGATTATTATCCATTTTAACAGCAGTATTATTATTTGAATTAACAACAAGTAAGTTTGGAAATATTACATTATTGTCAATTTATAAACGTATACTATTGTTAATGTTGCTGCTTAGAATTGATTTTGTAATGCCAGGAGTGGTTACTGAGTTCAACGAAATTTTTAAAACAATATGGGCATTTAGTTGCATTTACTGATAAAATTAGGTTTAAAATTAAAATAAAGATTTAAAATTAGAGTTATTTAGTATTATTTTATTCGCTAAAATTTTCCGCAACTTTTAAACCTATTTTTACTCTGTAAAACAATGTAAAACACGATTATAGTAAATAAAACAGTTAGCTAGCACAAATCTGCCTATTCTCATGTTACGCAATACAATAATAGTAATAATAATAATGATGTAAATCTGGTTCAATTTTTCATATTTCGTACCCTATTTGTATCATCATTTATAACTTATTTAAAACTAGTACTTTTTGTAAAAAAAAAAGGTGCCGATACTCATTTTTGGATGACAACTTTTTTTATTTTTTGCTTGAGACGCCATTTTTTGTTAAAAGCGGACACTTTCTTTTAAAACACTGCCGGTCATATATTTCTTAACTTTTAACCAATTTTTTTTATAATGAAAGAGGTCACAGAAAGCACTGTAGAAAATAATATTTGATAAGTTAAAAAATTATGATAAAAATACGATACGAAATATTGAAAAATTGAACCAGAAACCGATCAAAGCTATAAACAATAAATCGTTTATTATGAACAAACAATAAATTTGTTACATAAAGGGGCATTCCAAAAGAGTAAATCTAAACTAAGCGAAATCCCCAACATTCAAAAAAGTAATCCATAAATTCATAGTTTGATTAAATTAATGTAAATTAAATAATTTTTTTTCTTTCTTTTTTAAAATTTAAAAAAAATCAATTTTTAAAACATATAAAATATGAAAAATCTATAATGTTTAAAACCAATTAATATATGCATACATATAAAAACCAATTAATATAAGCATATATGTAAAATTTATTATGTTTAAAACCAATTAATATATGTATATATACACATATTTACACACCCATACATACACGCAGTGTTATTTCTGACCAACTGTATCTACGACAGTCTAAGCCCTAATTATGTATTAAGTTAAGAGTGTCGTAGATACAAATATATAAATATATATATAAGCTTAATTGGTTTAACCTTTTACTATTTCGCATGCAGAACGCAATGGGAACAAGTCTATAGACATATCCAGATTAATCTCTTTAGTTTGACGATAGTTTTCGCTTTTTACGATGATTTCTTTCTATTATTTGCGCTGTGATAAATTATTGTATAAATTTTCCGATCTACCGTAATTACAAATAAAATTATAATAATTTACAAAATCATCACCTACTTTTCAATTTTTTAAACTTTTCAAAATTAAGTTGTTGAAGTTTGGATTATTTAATAGTTTGTTTACTTGTATTTTTTAATGTAATAATATAGCTCTTATCTTATTAAAATATTGTTGTTGTTGTGTTTGGAAGAATGACGATATACGTATAAATATAAATGAAGAACGCAAAAAGATAAAAATAAACTTATCCTTCAGTCTTATTTTCTATTAAGTTTCAAATAAAAATTTTGTTTTTCATACATTGGTTATGGGTTCAATAAAACTGCAATAACTAAACATTAAAAGCAAAAAACGCTATTTCAGTATAACACACTATAAAATGACTTTTTCAGTCCCTCATCCCGAACAATTTTGGTAACAGATGACTTGAACAAAACTTCTCACAAAAAAAATTAGCAAAAACAATTTCTTCAATTATGGGATACAAATCTCTTGCAATAAATAAATATATATGAATGTATGAACGTAGCTTTTCAAGTAGATTTATATATCATTAAATAAGACATAGAAAATAAAAAATTTCAGAGTAATATTTTTACATGTTCAGATGTAGAAAACAAGAAACAACAGAAAATAAAAAAACCCATTAATATGTGTATTTTAGAAGAGATAATTTTACAAAAGAAAACAACTCTATTGGTTGATTATAAATGTTTTAAAAAATATCTTTCATTGAGTAGTGTTATTTAAGTAAAATTATCAAGCAAAAATTGAAAAATTATTATGGGAGTCGGGAGTTGAAGTCGGAATATTGGACCTGGAGTTGAAGTTGGTAACAGATACTGAGTTTGAGTTGAAATAATTTTTTTTATTAAACTCCGACACCTTGTTTGAAACAGGTGTCAAAAACATCATTACAAAAGGCCTATAAACATTTAAAGCACTCATAAAATCTTAGGTGTATCAGACCTTTTAATGTTATAAAATACAAAAAAAAATGCATTTCAAAATGCCCATCATATTCAGGATTCGTTAGCAAATCATATCAACTACAACTAACAAACAGATTAGACTAGATCAACCTCTACGTTTATCAGATTTTTTTTTAAATAAATGAACAAAATCTTAATTCAAAGATTAAATTAAAAATTCGATATTTTTGACATTTTCATCCAATTTTGCATATTTAACATAATTGTTGTGGCCTTACCGTAAAAGTAATATTAGTAAGTAATTAATTAGTAAAGATGTTAATTTTTCATATCAATGTTTATACAATTTTTTTCAATTTAGCACTTCACCGCCGTCCTATCCAATCAGTCAATTAACCAAATAAATTTTATTGTTTGGTTTACAATTTTCGATGTTAAAAAATTTTTAATTTCAGCGTTTAAAATCAATGTTTACAATTTTCGGGCAAATAAATCCAGCGTGAAAATTTGTCTCGTAGCATATCAGTCATTTTTGATTGGGCTCTAAAAATTCTACTTTTTGTGCCCAAAAACTCAGCTTCAATTCTTCTGTCAGCATTGTTAATTGTTATTTCAGCAATTCCCTCGCATACACCGTCATCTTCGACAACTGTTGGTTCAAACAATTTAGCCATTGAAAACCGAATAGGTTTAAATTTTGGTTTGCATTTTTTACATTCTTTACCATTTTGGAAAGAGACATTTTTTGACTTGTCTACAACACAAGCTTCTTCAATTTTTTTATCTTTGGTTTGAAAACCACGTTGTCCGGTGACATTATCTTTGCATTGGTGTTTCCCTCGCTTTTTTTCAATGATGCGACATTGCTCTCCGGAATTATAACGTTTGGAATCATCGTTACTTTTCTGCAATACAGAACCACCGTTAATATTACATTCTTTTACCCTATCTCTTTCGAAATTTTTCGATTTTTTTTCGTCAGCAGTTCGATAGATAACTAAGGAAGACAGAGGAGCATTGTCGGGACTTTTGTTCTTTCGACGCCTATAAAGTTTTGAAAAAGGCAAAGATCCCTCCGATAACAAACTATCTCGATGTTGATTATTTAACTGAAAAACTGATTGAGTGTAACCTAATGTGCCACTTTGCTGCGGAATTACGGACGGTTTTTTCAGCATTATTTGGTCCATTTTTCCACATGTGTGGGGAACCTGTTAGCAATTTACGTGGTATTTGTGTAACTATGCAACACAACTTTAATTCTACTTAATTAAATTTTTACAAACTTTATGTTCTAATGCCAGACACATAACATTATATGATTTTAAAATAATTCAGATCGTGATTGAAATAAACAAGCATTTTTAATAACACAGTTTTACTGACAACTTACATCTAAACGGTGTGCGCGCAAATTTTTCTCTCCACAAAAACTCCCACAACCAGATTGAACCTATTTTTTGAAGTCTAGAGCTCATATAAAATTTTTTGTATAATTAGCGATTAACTTGATTTATTTTTATTTACACAAAATATGTTTCAATACAATTTATATATATATATATATATATATCACAAATAAATATCGCATAAACAGATGACGTACGGTTTAATACACGAAAAAACCAGATATTTAAAAAATATCTTTTTGAAAAAAAAACAAATAATAATTTTTTGTTTAATTTTACAAGTTAAAAATTTTACAAATTAAGCATGTTTTTAAATGTCTGTTGTATCAACGTCTGCAAATTTTAAATCAACTTGAAATTTTACGGGTTTGTCTTTAACGCGTAGTTCTAATTTTTTAAAGGCATCGGCCATTGAAAGAGACATTTGTCTGCACGACACCATTCCATCGCAAAGGTATGCATGACATTCCGTTACTTTTATTTTACTCGACATTTCGCGTACAAGAATGAAAACGAATAACTTTGAATAGCGGTAATCTTGGACTGCGTATGAAATAAAATGCAGAGGAATAAAAGTACATTCAGAAAACTTTTTACTAGAACAGCTTTTTGGATGAACGGCCATCTGAAAATATTTTTGTAGGTAATTACTTGTTATATCAAATTAAACCGACCTAACAAAATTTTTCAAAATAACAAAAAAAATATTTTGAATTTGCTAATAATCTTAATTTATTAAAAATATAATACCACCTTGTGTTTTTGTAATGTGACTTATACCTATGTATATTGAATATAGATATTTAGAAGTGAAAAAAATAACCAGAAAAAAAAATAAAAAAAACAGCAATAGGAGATTTAATTTACCTTTATACCATCTTCCTGTATTTTGAAATTTATTAATGGCAAATCATCTTTTTTGTCCATTTGTCTCAGTTCTTGCACCATATTATCAACAGGTTCTCTGGTATGTTTCGACCCCCACAATCCACTACATGGTCTACTACCAACAAATTTAACCAAAAACCTTTGAGGTAATGGTCCTACTGTTACTTTTTTCAAAAATTCCCGTTGTTCCGACGAAGAAAGTTTTGTTTCACCAGGCCTCGACGACAAAGCTGTAAAGACTTTTTTAAAAGTTTCAGGGATAGAGTTCATTTTAGTCGCATTTTTATTATGTTCACCTGTATCTTTTGTGTTGTCTAATGATTCATTTTCATCATGGACTTGAAAAAAATTAGAATCAAATTCTGAAATCAAAGTATTCATGTTACTATCGTCACCCGTATTGGAATTCATTATAAGATTTTAAAAACTTTGGCTTGAAAATGCTGCTTGACACTTTATAAAGAATGGAATATTTTGCAAAGTAAAATAGCATTATAACATACGGACTGTAGATGCACTGCGCACCAGAACAATGGATGAACAAACCAAAGCTGTATAGCTCAGTCATTTCAAAGCTGTCTATTGTGATTTGAACATTAATTTTTACTGCGTCGTTCTTGCGTTCAAGTCGAATCGTTATGCTTTAACATGGAATGTTTAATATGAATTCAACGTATAAACCAATCACAAAATTAAACCAATGTACGAATCCTACAGAAATTGTTTGTTTCATGAAATGAAAATTTTGCTTCAGAGCTTAGAAAAAACGTTAAATTCGTCCACATAAAAACATTTTACTGACGTCACAACCACATTATTAAACTGCTGCTAAACCACCGGATTTTTTCTTCAATGTTTTCAATCCTTTCAGAAGACCAACAATTACGAGTCAGCAACATCACCTCACTACTCAATTTTTTAAGCAAAAACTTTAACTTTTGAGTCTTTTCAACAAATTTAGTTTAACAGTTTGTATTTCTATATTATCCAATAATTTTTTGTGAACGGCATTTTTACTTTGTTATACTTTTAAAAATATAACCGATTTTTCTTATTTTACTTTCATGAAAAAAAATCATAAAAGCAATTTATCCAGTGGCACTAGTTTTTTTATAAGTGCTAATCACCGCGACAAACTCCCGATACAGATACATGCAAGTAAAGTAACAGAAACGTCTCTAACAGAAACGTAAAACGTTGCAAGCGCACGTCGTGCTCATTAAAGGGCATTGCACTGAACACAAAAGTTCCAGTACATCAGACTAACTCAATCAACAACCAGGAGGTCTCTTCACTGGCCTTCAGTCAGATGTCGTATAAATTTCAATATTGCAACAATAACCATGAAAACGTTACTAACATCACAGCCACTGTATCTAAGGAACCTAATTGCCCTCAAAATCAGGCCCGGTTCCAGCCATTTGGCAGAGCTACATGTATGTTTTTGGCTACTCTACCCATGATATATGGGTTTCTTCTAGTTTTTTTTTATATACGTATTGATATTACATTATATTATTTTTGAACCTATATATTATCCACCCATATTTTACCTAGTTTATTGGATAGGTTCTTACAATTTAAAAAAAAAATTTGATGCTTATTTAGGTTATTTTGCAAAATACGCGGCCCCTAAAATCAGCGACCCTAGGTAGCTACCTAGTTTGCCTGATGGAAGAACCGGGCCTGCTCAAAATACCCAACAAATGCTAACGCTCGTCCAAATATCCAAAATTACCCAACAATATGCTTCAACCAACATCGCCCGTGCATTTCATCATAAATTTGGAACACGCTGCCTCATCAAATAAGAACCTGCACTTCATTGACTACTTTAAAAAATACTGAAAACTCAATTTACAATTCGCTGCTGTAGCTGGTCATCTTTTTATTTTTATTGCTCATTTTTTAAACTGAATTATTTTATTGATGATAGTTTTTATTCTTTAAGCTTATCATAGAAACATTTTTATAAATCTACAACATATTGCATCTATTTCCTGGCAAAAAGAGCTTCAGTTGCTTGCATTAGCGCTATAAAAATTGTTATTATTATTTGAAGGACATCCAATTTTTTTTCTGGATAAATTATTGAAGACTGTAAAAATGTTGTCCAAGAAGTATAGACAAAATAAACCTACAAAGATAAATACAGCATAAATTCGTCTTTTCAATTAAAATAATAGAAATGCGCAGTGACCTGATTCGAAAGCTGTCTGTCCGAAACTCAAAGACTGCGTCTGCATTGCATACAATCAAAATATGTATGAATGTTGTGTGGTGAACAGCTTTTGTTACTACAATACTTTAAAGTCCAAGCACGGAGTGACGTGTAAGCAGTCCTGCGTAAGCCAGAACTGCTCAACAGAAAAAAAATGAAGAAAGAAATGAATGATCGACATTTCAAAACATTGGCAAAGGAACAACGTAACGAGGTAAAAAATAAATAACTACAATGATCTAATCGCAAATAAAATAAAAAACATGTTTGAAATTCATGAATCACAATGTTTGAGACATCTATATCAGTGAAGACTAATTCAATCAATCTTCGTTTTGCGTCCAGAGACCCGGTTTCCCGAGGTAGGACGTTGTTCTCTTTGCCATCAACTTTTTGCGCCAAATTAGACGATCAGTTGTATCCATTTCATTTAAATTTTGAGCTTTCATGTCTTGCTCGATTGTTTGCGACCAGGACTTCTTTGGACGGCCTTTGGGACGTGTGCCAGGTACTTCAACATCTGAAAGAGAAGTTATGGCACTGTTTCCACTTCGAGCAATTTCTCCATATTTCACGGCAAAGTTGTAGTAACGTTTGGATACCTGCAGTACCAGACGCTTTGATAATGTCATTTGTGAGTCCAGAGGGCCCTGCTGCCTTTCCATCCTTCATAGCTTTCAGAGCTTCTGTAAGCTCCTCTATAGTGATGTCTGGAATCGGACTTTCGATGGGTGGAACGTCAAAGTTAACATTGATGGGATTTGTTTCGTTTAACAGACGGTTGAAGTATTCTCTCCGCTGTAGCTTGATCTCATGTTGTTCAAGAACCATCTCATTTTTGTCGTTTTTGATATATGAGGCACCAACTATGTCTTTTTCGTACGCTTTGCTTGTTTTGCTATACGATACAGAGATTTCATTTGTTCACCTTTGCTTTTAGTGAGCCACTCTCTGCACTGATCTGTCCGAGCCAGTGCAACTTGACGTCCGTGAAGACTAATTCAAAATAAAGCAATCGATAAAGATGAAATTATTTGGGATAAGGTGATCAGATTTTTGTTTAACTGTAGTCATAAATTTGCATTAAACATTTTTATTAATAATTTATTTTAATAAACAACAAATTAATTTATTCATTAGCATTAAGATTTAAAACGAAATTGGCACTAGTTCATTCACTAGCATATATCTGGAAAACATTATATATAAAAATCGGTACCAAGTCATTTGAGATGAATGAGCTAGCATTGCACCCTGAAAAATTATATTTATTAACATTTTATTAAAAATAACAGTTAAATATGACAGTTCCAATTACCAATGCCTTTTTAAATTGCTTGAAGGAACAGAAGAAAGCTAACTCGGCACAAGTCATTGTACATAAAACGTCAACGAATGACAGGTATTTCCTAAACACAGTGACACTTTTCAACTCAAATAAAGACAATCCTTCAAAATTAAATAATGTTTAAAATCAGATGAATCTAGTTGAGAAGATTTAAATTGCAGATGTACCTGGAATCTTGTAAACTCTCATCAATCTCCTGTAAATTTAATAATCTGTTCATCGATTTTATCTAATTGTATGAAACATTAAACTTAAATAAAGCTATTATTAGCTAGTTCTGAAAACAAAAAACTACAATGGAGAAAAATTAAAAATAATTTTTATAAAAACTGCTTTGCAAATAGTAATTTAGCTTTTGGAGTATTGAGGAAATAGTCTAGAAAATATAAAAAAGGTAAAAAAGATAAAATAAATGTGGAAGATATCCACAGAGCCTCAAAATTTTATCTTTTCAATTCATTAGTCAAATAGCTTAGCATTTCTAGTTTTAGTTACCTTTCTCCTATCCGAAACGAAACCATTAATTTAAAAATGAAATATAAACGTAAAAAGTGAAATTCAAACTGTTATTTAAAAAAAGTTCTTTCTAGTACAATTCCTAAAACAGTTAAAGTTAGTTCTAATCTCCATGTTTTCAATAATTACGAATCCTCAACTAAGACAATCTATCAATCTTATAAAAATTTTCATCAAAGCGATTTGTGATTTCATATTCCAATTATCAATTGTCGTTCAATGGCATAAATTCGTCTCAGAAGAAATGAGGTGTAGATAACTTAAAAATCCTAATATTCTCTATTTTTTAAAACTTCTTTGCAGCTATTGACCATAATTGGTTATTTGCTTACAGTTAAGGAAAATTATTACCGGGTTAGTACTCGCTTAAAATAAAACGCTAAAAAGATCGTCAAACATGATTTAGAAATCTTTCACAATCAAGCCCAAGGATTGACATCGTTGATTTCATCATCAACCATTTGTATCTGTTCAACATGAGAGTTGAGTCACCGATACAACATATCAAAATAAGAGTAAAAATTTTTACGGTTTCCTTGTTATAGAGCATTGAACTGGAATGATATTATCATCATCATCATGAGCGTTTAAAGGCGCTCACATCAGTACTTACATCAAAATTTTGTCTACGACTGGTATAAGTTGACATAATCACACGCTTCCGTTGACCATCGCTAAATTTATAAAACCTCTAAAATATTTAATTTAACCATTCAATTATATTAATGACAACCCAATATGCAGCTAAATATTATTAGTCACTTTATTGGCTGATAAAAAAAAATCTTGTTTTGATGTAATTAATTGATACCTGACTCCAAGGTGTATAGCAATGTGATTTAAATGCCCGCTAACTCCATAGTCATCGAACGTTATCAACTAAAAAATTGGAATATTGATGAACTCTTATAACGCAATATTATTGTTTACGCAGCATTTTAATCATAAAATCTGAACGGATGTTTACAAAATGATTGTTGAGTTAGCTGATTTGGTAAAAGTGTCATGTCTCTCGTTGTTGTCATTGCACAATGACCTGGTTCGAATACTATCTATCCAAAACTCAATGACTTGCATACGTACACCGTGTGCGTTCAGCAAAACAACTGCAGTGGACAATTTTAAATCTAGTTGAGTTCGTAGTTTTAAAATAAATATTGTTTAAAAATGTAACTTACAACATTAATTTGATATTTGATTGTATAACCTTTTACCACATCAGAAACGATCGTAGAATTCCAAACCAATTCTGGATTATCTTTTAAATTTCTATATTCAAAAGTTAAAAAAATTAGCGAATAGAATTGTTACAAATAAAAAATTATGAAATGCTACCAGCTGTCCAAAACAAATTATAACGCATGGCCGACCAGAATACGAGGTTTGAAAAATTGATTCGGATAAAAGAAAACTAATAAAAAAAAAACAGTGTGAGAATAAAGAAAAATATGGTAGATTTTCAATTATAGTTCAAACCTTAAGTAGATAAATGGTTAGGGAATAGTAGAAATAACCTCAAAAGATGGAATTAGCAGTTGTGGTTATGAGCTTCTCTTACCTGGAAAAAATGTTGGAAATAGAAAAACTGGCACGAAAATGAGATCATGACCCGCATACAAAACGTGTTTTCATATGTAAACCAACAGTGAACAGCGACAATGATCCCTCCAAGAAGACTAAGGCCATGTGCAAACTGGGCAGCAGTTTTTATGCCCTGAGAAATGATGTCCAATTGGCGTTTGTCAATCAATCAATCTTCGATTTGCGTCCAGAGACCCTGTTTCCCGAGGTAGAACGTTGTTCTCTTTGCCATCAACTTTTTGCGCCAAATTAGACGATCAGTTGTATCCATTTAAATTTAGAGCTTTCATGTCTTCATAGAGGGGCCATTCTGAATTTTTCTGCAACATCCCTCCGCTATTGCATACTTCCCAGGGATTCTTGGCACCCCTTGCCAATAGTTATTATTAAACCAAATAAAGTGGGGTGGATGTTTTAACATTTTGTCGTTAAAATAGTGCACTTAAAATATATAGAGTGTATTTAAAGCTTAAGATAAAGTTGCTTACGTTAAAAGCCAAGCTAAAGAAGATGATCCAGAAACAAAATATTGTTATAAATACAGCGCTCCATAATTATGACAATAATTATCTATGGTACGCCGTATTGTAAAATGTATATGCATTGTAAAAGAAAGCTGTATAAAAAAAGAGAATAACTCGAAAAAAAGGATGAGGAGATAACACGAGGAATACAGGTAATCAGAAAACGGAGCACAATTGACGTAAATGTGATTTTATGTAGTTATTACGATTAAGTTATTGTTTCTATTAATGTTGGTATTAAATAAACGTTTGACGTAGTTTGCGTTTAAAGTTGTTGTGTTCATCTATCGGAGATCTTGAACCTACGGATAAACGAACTCTTGACTATCGTTGGAAGCTACAACACGGTGTTGGAGATATAGCGAGTACTGAAGCTATAACATCGGTGTTGGTAGTTACGAGGTCGAAGAGGTTACGACACTGGTGTTAGAAGTGGGATCTTCAGGAGATTAAACACCTGGTGGCAGAGGTAAGATTCCGATAGCTGGAAGCTCACTGCAGTAAAGAATACCAGGACTAGAGAACTCAATGTAAGAGAAACAAAAGTCGGACAAGAGAAACTTAACTACTGACGAATAGCTTTATTCCGAGATTTACCTGTCGATTAGTTATTGTGCTGTGTTATAACGATTTAATGATCGAACGAACGAGTGATCGATTACGGCAATACACACAAGTGATTGCCAGCACTGTTTTCTTTCTAATAAAGTCATCTGAAATAAATCTGCTTAGGAACCGAGAATCCACGTAGAGAGAAATAACCATACCCTATAAGATAAAGGGGTCGGTTATAACAATATTGTTACAAAAAAAACATTAAAGTTTTATATTGCTTGACCAATTTTAAATAAAATTACAACTGGCTGATTTAATTGATGAATTCCAAAATTTGCGTAAAACCATAGAAGCGCAGTTCAATTTTCTTAAATAATTTATTGTATTTAGAAGCATACAAAGTTTATTGGATGATCCGGTAAAAACTTTCAACCAACTCCAGAGCAAAAACGCATTTTGAAAATTTTGAACATTTGTATTAACATTTGCATGTGAACTGAAAGAATGGGTGACATTTGATGCATAGCCAATTAAGAATCAAATAAACTTTGGATTTGGCAAAAAAGTGGCTTAGTGCTAAAAATATCAATGTTTTCTTCTAAAAAATTCTAATAATTGTGGAAGGTATAAAAATTTAAAAATAAATTAGCGAACAAAATATCAGCTTTAATCCTACTCGTTATTAATTATAAATGCTCTGTTTTCATCGACACCTAGTATATTGCAACTTTTCTTAAATTCTTCTTCACGTTTATATCCAATTTTGTAATAATTTCCTGAAAATAAGTAAGCATTAAAAATTGTTAGTTGATCAATCAATTTAATGCCATTTTAACGATAAAATTATTCATCAAAATGACCCCAGAAATGAAACAAATGTTAAATTATAAAGTTCAGAATTTCAAGTGCCAAAAATTCAACTGTATCCACTTTGAGACATCAACCCAAGTACTTTCGTATTATTCCTAAAAATTCAGAAATACAAAAAAGAAAAAAATTCTTTAGATCGAGAATAGCAGAACAATAAAAAAGGTTAAACTTATTACCCTTTTTAAATGTTAAATAATATTTTTTGATCATTTTCAATAATTCATGTTCCTTTCAAATTCCTGTAACAATCCTTTCAAACAGTTTGATGGTAATGAATTTGAGATGTCAAATACCCAAATAACGGTGAAAGTGGCCTAATGGGTGACTTTGAAAGGTACAATAAAGGCCTGTTATGTCAAGAAACAATAATGTACAAAATGGACGAAAGAATTAAAAAAAAGATCATTAAAAATATATAAAGGAACATGTCAAATCAAAGTTGACCCTGCACAGTGCACAATCTTTGTAGGTTTTGAACAATGAATTTAAATAAAATATGTTGGCGATAAAATAGGTACTGCACGTTTTTACAAAAATTATTATATTTTCAGCTTAGAAGTGTAGCGAATTTGTAAGTTTTGGTTTAATTTTGCTGAATTTTATTTTGATAATTCTGATGGAGATTTTAATTGAAAAATTGACCGAGTCTCAGACAAGGTAGTCACTTGGAAGCATCCGGAAGCTGCATGAGTGGTGATTTCGTTATATGTTTTGTCACTTTCGGAACGGGGTAACAGTTTGAAAGTAATGAAACTAAAAGTTCGAATAAAAAATGATAAATTGAAATATAAACAGGAAAGTGCTACTGCTATCACAACAGTGAAATCTTCAAACATTAGCAATGAATGGGTCAAAATTGTGACTAAAGACAGTAAGAACACAAAGAAATCATTTTATAATTATATAATTTAATAGTTATAATAGTTTTCACAAATTCGGTAGTCAGTGAGTTAAATGAGAAAAAAGTGAAGGAAAAACGTTATCATTTATTGTGTAACTGAGTCGACTAAAAAATTTATCTGAAAAGAGAGATGAAAATATTTTTGAAATTGTTGGTGAAAATGACGTAACACTTGTGCTTTAGGGAGACTCGGATCTAAAGATGCAACTAAACCTGGTCCAATTCTCGTTGAGTCAGATTTAAAACCAAAAAGAGCCGACTAGTTTTTGAAGAGAATCTGGAAGAAATAGCCAAAAACAAACCAAAGTTGCTTTACAAATATTTAAACGACGAAGAGGTACTCAAATCAAATCAAAGTACTCAGAATATTAAATGGTGTGATAATGCAAAACCGAAATGAAATTGATAATTTATTAAATAAATGTTTTCAAGACGTTTTTGTTATAGAAGATGATGAACTTCCATCATTTGAAGTTTAATTTAATAAAAGCCTCACTAATTTTGTTAGCGTCGACCATGATGATATCAGCTATGAATTTGTTATGAGTAAGTTAATAAGTCTTGAACCATACAAATCATTTGATACTGATAATCTTCATCCAATACATCTAAAAAATTGTGCTGTGTGTTTTGCTCTACCAGTGACTTTAATTTTCAAAGAGTTATTAGCAACCAGCCGACTATCAATTCAGTTCACGTCAGCTAATGTTACTTTCTTTTTTTAAAAAAGTGACGAAATGTTGGCTGAAAACTATAGACCAGTCTCTTTTACTTCAATTTTGTGTAAGATCAAAGAAATTTGTGTGAATATAAATTCAGCTAATCATGTAGAGCCTGTAAAATTTTATGGTTTATTATTGATGAATCTATGTGTAAATGGTGCCAATTTTATTAATTTCTGAAGTTCTTTTTTTGTAAAAAAATTTTCAAACTTAACCATAAAAAAAACAGATTTTTGTTAATAAAAATTTATCTTTCAATTTAAATTTCAGTGCAAAAAACATAAGAATTGATTTTTACCAAATAAAAGTTTAACTAATCATCCATGGGAGACTTTTAGGTTAAATTTTAACCTTAGAGCGGACTTCAGAGAATCGCTATTTATGGTTGTTGGTAGAACCGCATGAGTTGTTGAAGACCATTTGGAGAGGAGGGTGGTCTTTATGTTGCGATGAGTATGTTGTTGCGTGATGATATGATGGCACGGGTGGCTAGGATTATGGCATAGGAGTAGGAATTGTGATTAGCTTCGAATTAGCTTGGAATTAGCTCCGAATGCTGCCTTACCGTTAACATCTTACCTTCTGAGTGAAGGTGCCGTTCTGAAGCGATGACATGGCAACCTGTAATCAAACGTAGGGCAGCATTCTGCGAGCGTTGAAGACGTGAGAAACTCGAGTCTGATGTCAGAGATGCCCAGGCAGAACAGGCATACTCGGTTGTTGAACGACCAATGGTTTTGTAGGTCTGTAAAAGAGTTTCCATGTCCTGACCATAGGTTGTACCACTTAGTGCCTTTAAAATATTATTTCATATTGAGGCCTTGGATGCTGTTTCTTTATGGTGTTGTGAGAAGGACAGCATCGTGTCTAAAGTGAGGCCTAATATTTTTGGATTATGTTCAAGTAGTAATGAATTATTTATTTTAACTGCTGGATGATGGTGATACTGTGAGGTGTGCGTGGTGAAGAAGGTGACTGTGGATTTGGAGGTGAAAATCTCCAAATTTCTGCTATTGAAGAAGTCGTAAAGCTTTGGAAGGTAACAATTGAGCTGAAGTGTCAAATCATCTACATTCGGACCTGTAGTGTAAACTGAAAAATCGTCTGCATAAGAGATAACTTTGATGTCTGGAGGAGGGTTAGGTATTTTGGAGACGTAGTGGTTGAACAGAGTTAGTGACAATACAGAACCTTGAGGCACTCCTGAGCGGATGGTGCGTTGTTTTGAAAATTGTCGGCGGAACTCTGTTGATGCGTCCATGCAGATAGTTTGACAACCAGCGGACAATTGACCGTTGAAGCGATGATGACATGAGGTCGGAGATTAGGATGCGATGGTTGACGGTGTCGAAGGCCTTTGTGAGGTTCAATGCTGTTAAGATTGTTCGGTGAGCTGGCCTCTTCTGATTTAAGCCGTTTGCGATGTCGGTGACCATCGTGGTGAGAGCTGTTGTTGTAGAATGAAGTGGGCGAAAACCATGCTGATGTCTCGCTAAGGTTAGGTGATTCGAGATGATCAGCAGAAGGCATTTTTCAAATACTTTAACTGCTGGACAAAGAAGAGATATAGGACGATATGATTTTGCGTCGTTAACTGGTTTGCCGGGTTTCAGTAGAGAAATGATTTTTGATTTCTTGTAAATTTCAGGAATTTTACAGGTTCGTAGGGATTCGTTTAAAATATTTGTTAGGAAGGAAATTCCCTTTGGGCCGAGGTGTTTTAGGTGAAATATTGTCAGGTTTTCTGGTCCTGTTGCATTGGACGGTTTGGAAGTTTTAATAGCTTCTGTAACCTGATTGGGGGTTAGTGTAAGATAGCCGTCAAGCGGAAGTTTCTTGACGGCTTTGTTGGTGATTCTATTTAGTTTGTTTGATGAATGTTTAGTAGTTGATGTGAAAATTTTATTGAATGAGTTGGCTATTTGCAGGTTGTTGGTTAGTGACCTGTTGTTGAAATTAATAGCGATGTTGGGGTATTGAATTGGTTTGCCGCTAAAAGCTTTTATTGTGCTCCAGAGGCGTTTGGTGTTGGTTATCCTTCCAACGTGATTGTTTTAATTTGTTGATTTTGTGTTGAATTATTGTTGATGTAATTGCTATGTCCTTAGATGTTGGATCTGTAGCTCTGATATCATCCCGTCTTTTCATTAGGTCGGTGATTTCTTTCGATAGACCTGGAGTATATGAAATTCGTCTACCGGAAGGTATGTTGTGGTCACTTGCGTCCTGTAGAATACGACGAAACGATAGGTTGGAAAGGAAAACTTGATTGGAAAATCCGGCTTCGGATTCTATGGTGAAACCATCCCAGTTAGCTTTCGCGAAATTTATGAATCTGATTTTTGGTGGGTTAGTATGTTGAATTGTTGTTTGTAAGCTGATGTGAATGGGTAGATGATCTGATGAGAGTGAGGTCATCGTGGACTATTCCATGTTGATGATCAACGTATCTGAGGCGACAGAGATATCTGGAGATGAAGGTTGGCCGGATGTTGGAAGACGCGTTGGGGTATCCAAGTTGAGTGTGCCACAGCCAGAATTTTCGATTTCACTGGCTAGGGCTTCTCCTTGTGTGTCCTCCAGACTTGAATACCACAGTGGGTCGTGTGCATTGACATCTCCCAATAAGACGACATTTGGGATTGAAAAAAATTGAGATATGGATGCTGTGAAACCTGTTGGGCAGATGGATTGTGGAGGGACGTGGAGGATTGTGGAGGGACGCCTTCACAGGCAGGTGAATACGACGTTTGAAATTATAAATCGTGAAAAACCCGCACGTCAAATTCGACGTTGAGATGCTATAAGGCGTGTGAATCACGAGCGGGCGAATATGACGTTTAGACGGTTTTTAAGCGTGAGAATAGCACGACGAATTTGACGTCGAGATGAAAATAGAAATCAATCCGCACGCCGAATTCGACGTTGAGATGCTATAAGGCGTGCGAATCACGAGCGGGCGAATACGACATTTAGACAGTGAAAAGCGTGAGAATCGCACGACGAATTCGATGAGATGGCCGAAGTCTGTACAACAAAGTTGACGCTATATTGAAGATACAGGACGCAGTTGAAGCGCAAAATTTGACGTTTATTAAGATATAAAGCATTTTTGTTATAGAATGACAATTTTAAAAATAAAAAGTTTATTACATAAAGTGTCATATAGTAACACACACTGACATATACACATATTTACACAGTAATGCATACAGGTATATTGTTCATGTGTTAAGACGAAACAATTACCTAAAGACCCAAGATTATTATACCAATACTGTTGACAAAACCATGCTTCAAATGATATGCATCTTTTCTTGCTGCAGGAAAGTTTGATTGATTTAGGAAATTTGTTACAAGTGTTGGGTTTGCACCAGCATCCAACATATTTTTAGCTTGCCCCAAAGCAGCTTCTGCAAGGCATCAGTTATCTACATATAGAACAAATATGGATGTTACAACATCATGGTTGTGTTCCAAACACATATTTTTAATAATAAACTCCCAAAATTACAAAATTTGCTATAAAAATTTACCATTTCATTATTAAATATTTCAATTTTTTTAATATTATTATCACTATCAATAAACAAAATGTAATTACCATTAATCATTATTAAAAATTTCAATTTAATTTTTAGGTATTATTATCATATCAACATACAACAATAAAGAAAATTTAATTATCACTGAATTTTAAAATATCGCAATAAATTAAATTTTTAAAGTAATATCACAATCAATAAACAACAATAAACAAAATTTAATTATTGTAAGGATTACTATTTCTACCCTCCGATTTTTGCAGTATGCTACATTAACTGCTGCAGTGCAACCATACAACAAGGATGCCTGGTTAAGTCATGTCCCAGTTTTTTTTCAAATTTGCAGATGGCTTTCAATTCCATAGTGCTTACAGACCCACTTAATGCAGTAACCATTGTCGAATATAAAAATTAACATTATATAAAAATATATAAAAAATTTAAAATATAAAATATTCATATTAATTGAAATTAAGGCTTGAAAATATTTTTAAAATATAAAAACCTCTGACTGTTGATCAATTGAAGATCAACAATTTTGGCGCTTTCCAGAAGACATTTTTTGTTACAATTTTTAATTTTTACTTTAGTGCTACGCTTCAGTAAATGGTACTTTTTTTTAACAAACTTAATTTTATTAAATTCAATAAAATCAAACAAAACAATCAAAATAAAACAAATCTTCAAAAACCTCGCCGCTCACCAAGGGAAGAAGGAAAATAAATTCTTGCCAAAGATAATAAATATTAGTGTAACGATGCGCAAATCAAAATTTGTTTAAAGTAACGAAAATTTTTACAAATAAATACTTGTTAAAACAATAAAAAAATGTTTTGAACATATTTTTCCGTTCGCACGCCTTTTATAGCAGTCCAACAAGTTCATGGTCATGATTTATCGTTTATTAAAACATTTTAATTAAATTTAAAGTTTAAACAATGAGAAAAATTATGTTCTTTTGACAAACTAATACATTTTTTTGAAAGATAAAATAGATTTATTAATAATTAATTTTTCAAACAATCTAGAATTCAAGGCCAGAGAAATATCTCAGCGAAAGTTTAAAATAAATAAATTAATATTATAAAAGCACCTTTAAAATTAAAAACTATAAAACTAACCAGTGGACAAGCACAACACATAAAAAATGTGATTGGGGCTCAAATTTAAAACCGTTGGAGCGAAAAACATGCTTTCATCATCAGGATGAGCAGTGATCAGTAAAATTTTCAGATTGTTACAATTATGAAACATGTCTACTTTTCTTTTAACATAAATTACCAAAAACCAAATAATTGACAAAACCAAACAAGCCACCGTCATGATGACAGACTCCATGTAAAATTTGTAGTTAGGCATCATATGATACTTTGCCACAGTCCATTATTTTTTGCACAAGTAAAAGATCAATTAATTATTTAGAACACTAACGGAGAGAAATCGCAAGTAACAGCAAACAGATTTTTGTAAAGAGAGTCGTACACATTTTTAATAAAAACAGTTTTTGAAAAATTTTATGGAGAGCCAAATTAAAATACAAAAAAGCATTAATACGTACGTTAATAGCAAGTGTTGGTGTACCAATGACTGACTCCGTTAGCTAATTATGATAATTATCTTTGGAGCCACAATATACTAATTGCCTTTTACAACTTTTGTCAATTCATGTAAAACGCAAAGACAAATTTATTTCATTCTATATATGTAGTTAATAGTACTAAAATAAAATAATAATCAAAGACAGTTAACGCGCTGCAGTTTTTAAGCCTCTAAAAGAAAATAGAAACTCTGTAATAAACATATAACAACAGGCTGTATAAAAATCCTACCAACATAAAAATTACACAAAGAAACAATTGAACTTAATGCTCCTTTGTTAAAAATACTACAAATACCTGAAGAACTACATATAACAATATCACAAATTCTATTACACAGATGATGGTAAAGGCACATAACCATAACTAGAATAAATATATCAGATTTGAAGGGTGATTTTTTATTGTTCGAGTCAAAAGTTGCGATAGTATATTTACAAATTTCGGAATTTTGCTTTTATTTAAAATGTTAAAATTTTATTTTTTAAAATTGTTATTCAATGTGGTAATTAATAACTTTTATTTGGTATAAATTTAAAAAAATAAAAGTGACATTACCGAAAATAATTAAAAGTTGAAAAATTGAGGTTTTTTGCATATCCCTGCTTCAATCGATCAATCAATGATCCTCCTTTGTCCATCGGGGGACCGTGAAGGCCGATGGTGTACATCTAAGCATGCTTTTTACATTTATTTTTTTCTTTTTTCTTTCCAAAAACCTTTTCTATCTTTGGCCAGTTTTATTGAATTCAGGATACCAACATCAGTCCATTCAGTAATGTCATCTATCCATTTCTTAACAGGTCTACCAATTTTTTTCTTCCAATCTCTTTTCCTCATTAGTACCATCTGTCTTCTCTCATTCTACAAATGTGTCCGAAAAATCCCAATTTTCTTTCTCTGACTTTGTCATATACACTTTTCTGTCTTCCAAGTTGATTTCTGATGGTTTCGTTCTTTACTTTCTGCCTCCAACTGATTCCAACAAATTTCGGTAACACTTCATCTCAAATGCTTCCAATCTGTCTTTGTCTGTTTTCTTTATTGTCCATGTCTCAAAAGCATAGAGCAAGCTTGGAAAAACGCAAAATTTTATCATTCTCAAATTTGTTTTTATAGATATATTTCCACTTTTCCATATTTTCTTCAATGATGCGAACATTCCATGAGCTACTGCTATCCTTCTGTCAATTTCTTTGGTGCAGTTGTTGTAACAGGTTATAAGACTGCCAAGATACACAAACCGGTGTACTTGTTCGAGTTTTTCTGATTCTATCTGAAAGTCCACATTGTTGTTTCTGCCTTTTCCCGTAATCATCACCTTTGTTTTGTCTTTGTTGATATGCAACCCGTGATCTTTTCTACCAACATGTGTTAGTTCAATTAGTTTCTATAGACTTTCTTCACTAGAAGCTAGAAGGTCTATATCGTCTGCAAACTTGAGATTTTTGACAGTTCTCCTTCCTATATCAATTCTACCCAATTCTGAATTTTCCATTTTTTCCATTGCTCTTTCTAGCAATGCTATGAATAGTATTGGTGATATTGGATCGCCCTCTCTGCTTCCAATGTCTGCCTTTATCCAATCCCCAAGTTCTGTACCTATTATTACCGACATTTTTGATTCTTCATAAAGTCCTTTCAGTACTTTGACCAGCTTTTCTGATGTTCCCATACTTTTTAATATTGCTCACAAACCTTCATGCCAGACAGAATCAAACGCTTTCTTAAAATCAACAAAGCAATGGTAAATTGTCTGACCGCTACTTTTTGCATCCTCCATCAGCAGTCTCAACATCAGAATTCGTTGGATCATGCTTCTGTCCATTCTGAAGCCTTGTTCTTCATGCAAATGTTGCTCTATGACCTTTTCCAGTTGTTCTTTTATGATAGTCAGCATAATCTTGCATATGTGCGGAATAAGTGCAATTGATCTCTAATTATTACAGTCTTTTTGGTTTCCCCTTTTTGGCTGTATAACCAAACTGACTTGCACCATTCTTTTGGTCACTTTCCACTTTCCCAAATTTCTTGACAGATTGTGTGAACTTTTTTACACACGACTTGTCCTTCTGCTCTTATCAGTTCTATCGGAATACTATTCTTCCCTGTACTTTTGTTGCTCTTCATTTTACTCATTGCTCTTGTAATTTCTTATTTTCCCTCATTATTTCACTTTCTTCTTCATTGATTATTTTTCTGCTTTTCAAAATTTCAGGCGTTTCTTTTTTGTATGTGTTTTTGTCTGTGAATAAGTCTTTAATATATTCAGTCCATCTATCCTTAATTTTTTACTTTCTGTTAGGATGTTTCCGTTTTTATCTTTAATAATCTTTGACCTATTTTTCTGTTTTTCTTTTAACTGGTTAACCAGATGGTACGCCTCTCTTGTTTTGTTTTGCCCAATCACCGTCTCTACCTTTTCACATTTACCATTAATCTATCCTTTTTTATCTGCTCTAGCACTCTTTAATTTTTGGCAAACTTTTTTGTATGTCCCTGCTTCAACCCATAAGAAAGTGTTGTATATTGGTAAATAGGCTCCCCTTGGGGGAAGCTTACCGAAAAAAACTTTTATGTAAATGTATATATAAAAAATGCAGTCTAAAATAATTATAAATTTTATTATTAGTTTGAATAAATTGAATAATACTGATAAAATAATTGTTCAAAAAATTGAAAAATTTAGTTACCAAAGAGTTACAATCTTCAACTTCGTTATATATAACACTTTTATGTGTTTTCATTATCAATGATTTCTCTGTTTTTAAATTTATTGGTTAGAAGAAGCGCCTTTCGATGGCCCGGGTAACACACTACATCAGCAAATAGACGTTGTAGCAATGGGCTCTCCATTGGGAGCACTTTTCGCAAACTTCTATGCTGGAAATATCGAATAAATCTTATTTAAAGAAAAACTAAAGCTAAAACCTAACAAAACTGACCATGGGTCAGATGGATCACTGTTTTTGGATGAGTCAATCGGTCAAAACTTTTGGCCCACTGACCCATCAGCAAACATTTTTTTTATTGTTACATATTTGTTTATATATAAAGGTGAATTGCAAACTACGCACTATCAAGGTTCTCAACGCATTATTATCCAATATTTTAAACAAGCCTTAGATTCTCAGTTGTGAAAGAAGCGGTTTACTCGCGAGTGAGTGATAATCGTGAGTAAGGGGTAAGCAAGTATAAACGTTTTATTAACTTTTTACAGTGATGGGCATAGTTTAGTTAAATAGTTGCAGACTAATAGTTTAACAATTTTTTTAGTTTCCTAGTTTAACTTAAAAAAATAATTTAGTCAATGTGTGTTCAAATTTTGAATTGACTGTCAACAATGTCTTTCTACTTTGTCGTTGTAATCATATTAAAGACTAAAACTAATAGACAAATCTTTGACTACAATGTTGAAATCTTACATTAATATAACAATCATTATAATTTATGACTAGCCGAATCAATACTCATAGAACAAATATATCAGATAATAAATATTCAACAACGGGCAATTGGAATTCTTCCTACCAATAAATTTAGAAACAGAGGAATCATCGATAATGAAAACACTTAAAAGTGTTATATGTAACGAAGTTGAAGATTGTAAAACTAATTAAATAAGCATTAAGTATTTACTTTAAACAAACAAGGAATCAACAAAGTAGAGGCACAGTATATATATATATATATATAAATATATATTTGAGCATCTGAGCAATGAGCACATACACAACATATCAAACAAAAAAAGCTTTTTGTTCTATCATGCATGAAATAAACAAAAATTTTGGTTTTAAACTAAAAAAATTTAGTTCAAAAATTTAAAAATGAACTAAAGAAAATGATTTACGATCAACCGATATAAAAATCTAAGAGTTCAATTGGAAGTTAACTGACGTCATACATGATGTAATTTTCATCAATAATTATATAATATTATAAGTTCGTCCCCGGCTCCAGCCAAAATCCTGCATTTGGTGGCCGGATTTAGGGCCGGATTTAAGCGTCTATCAACATTTAAAAAGGTTATAATTAGAAATTTTTTTATTGAATTCAATTAATTTTATGTCAAAAAGTTAAAGGCTAAGCATACATGACACATAATAACAACATCACTAATTGTGAGGTGAGATGGAAAATTTTCTTTATGCTATAACATGGGTTATGCATAAATTATAAGCTGATCCTTGTGTAAAAGAACTTGTGCACGTGTATATACTATATAAATGTATATGACGGATCATATAGCTACATAATATATATATATATATATATATAAACATGGTATGTTAAAGGTTAGACTAGGCATACATGACACATAATTACAACATCACTAATTGTGAGGTGAGCTGGAACATTTTCTTTGTGCTGTAACATGGGTTTTGCATAAATTATAAACTGATCTTTGTGTAAAAGAACTTGTGCACGTGCATACATGACACATTATATCAACATCACTAATTGTGAGGTGAGCTGGACAATTTTCTTTATGCTATAACATGAATTATGCATAAATTATAAGCTGATCTTTATGTACAGAATTTGGCGCATCACACAGCTTATTCATAACTTGGAATATAACCCTATTCATATATTTGAATTAATTAACTATTTGCTTGGTGTTATTTTTTGATGTTCAACATGTAGATAACCATAAATGTGAGTATTTTTTTCTAACGTATGTAAAATGGTAACTAAAATTCGGCCCCGGCTCCGGCCGGTTCTTGAATTTTAAATCCGGCCAAGTCCGGCCCCGGTCGGACTTGAAAAACCTAAATCCGGTGCATTCCGAATATATATATATATAGTCAGTGAGGTAGTAGTAATCATATATCGGGATTACTACTACCTCACTGACTAGAAGGCTTACGATGCATAAACAGAGTGGTCCTATCAAATCTCATTTGAACTCAACACACTCAATCACTATTAGCCGTGAAATCCTCGACAGCAACACCAAAGTAATATACCAGAAGAGCAACTGCACGCATCTTAAAATTGCAGAAGCAGTCCTAATTGACATCAATAAACCAAAAATAACTATACAACAAAAAATGACAACTTCACTCCCAACCTGACGCTTAACCATCAATGAAAACAAAGAAGTAATAAAAACTAGCATTGTAAATAGTGACAAAGAAGAATATGAATCTATCGATGAAGAAAAGGAGACCAAAGTAGGTGACCAGCCAATAAAGAAACCTGACACCTAATTTCCATCTAAGTTCATTTTGACAAAGTCAATATTTCCCTATATAAACATCAACCGCACTGATGATGATTCATTCGGAATCGAAATATGGCCTTATTTGCAGCTTGAATTCGGAAAATAAGTTTATTTTGAATTTTAATAAACTAAACGTTCACCAAAAAACTTTAGTGAAAAAAATTGAAAAAACGAACTACAAACATATTAACGCCAAACATTCGGTAGAATTTATAGAATGTTGTAAATATATATATATATATATACATATATATATATATATATATATATATATATATATACACACAAAATTTTTGTCCATTTAAGTGATCAAACAAAAACATAAATATTTCGAAAATAAACATAAGTATACATTGTAAAAAGAACTAAAACAAAACAAATAAATCATTTAAATTCATACACAGATGCACACATATACTCTCGACCATACCCAATCACTCAAATTAATGTAACAACCATATAAGAACCAAACAGCAACCATTTTAAACCAAATCATAGATACATTCATCCACACTTTATCCACACCGATCACACACAATTACGCTCAGAAGATGCACGATAACATATAATTCAGAACAACCAACAGATAAATACCCAACCACCAGCACAATAATTATAAATCGATTCAAATTATTAGAAACATACGAAACACATACATCTCCTCACATTCAAAACACATTCAACGTAAGCACATCCCCTCATAAAACACCCACATACATTACGTACTCGAAAACTCAATTATATAATTAAAACGTAAATAAAAAAAACAGCATAAAACAAATGAATGTTCCATTATCGATAAGCTACATTCATAAACAACAAAAGCAACATGCAACATACTATTCACAACTTCAATTAATCTTCAAAACAGGTGTGTTTTCAATTCCCTCCTAAACTGCAACAGTGACATCCCTGGTCGACGAATGACGCATGGAAGACTGTTCCATTTTCGTACCATATACAGCAAAGTTACGAGACTCAATCTTCAATTTTGACATCCGATCTGTCAAGTAACTTTAATCGTTTGATCTCAAGACACAATTCTTAGCAGTCATATCTTTGAGTGTAAACATCTCCGTCAGATATCGTGGTGCCAAACCATTTAAACACTTGAACATTAATAAGCAAATTTTAAAAACAATCCTCTTTTCAATTACCAACCAGTGCAAATCCTTAATCAATGGAGTCACGTGATCATACTTTCGTCCACCCATTACTATTTTAGCTGCCCTATTCTGTACAGATTGCAACAGTGCAATTTCATTCGCTGAAACACCATACAGTAGGCTGTTGCAGTAGTCCAAACGTGAGTGGACAAATGAATGAATGAACTAATGCCATCAAAGAGGGCTTGCTGACAAATCTCTTAATGCGCTGCAACTGACGTAGGTGAAAACAACATGACTTTACGACACCCCGTATATGATCCTGCATGGTCAGATTAGCATCAAGTGTGAAGCCCAAAATTGTGGATGATCTTTCAAATTTAACAATGGCATTATCCATTTCTAATACATCTCGATGTATTTTTTGATGTCTGCTGCCATGTACCAATTGGCACTAGCTTGGTTTTATCTTTGTTCAATTTTATTCCATTTTGTGACATCCAAATATTTACTGCAGCCAACGTATCTTTCAGTCCTTCAGCTAAATCATCAAACTTTTCAACAGGAGCACATGACACTAATTAAATATCATCTGCATACGCATAACACTCCATCTTATGATTTTCCATCATGTCAAACACATCAGCAGTATACAACAAGAGAAATGGCCCCAACACCGATCCCTGAGGGACGCCAGTTAACATTTTTTCTTCATCCAAATGTTCATTACCAAATAATATCTGCTGTGATCTGTCATTTAAATACGACTTGAAAAATCTTAGCACAGTGCCTGAAATTCCATATCTTGTTGACATTCTTTGAACAAGTATATTGTGATCCACACAATCAAAGGCAGCACTCATATCAAGTAAAGCTAACAATGTCACTTGCTTTGAATCTGATGCCTGAAATAACGTTGGCAACAGCTTTAACAGTGCCGTTTCTGTAGAGTGGAACCTTCTGTACCCCGACTGAAAGCACGGAAGATTATTTTCATCCAAGTATTGCAGAATCTGTCTTGTAACCACCCTTTAAACAATCTTTGCTATAAACGACAAATTTGACACAGGACGAAAACTCTTCAACTCATTTGCATCGGACGATGGTTGCTTCAATAGCGGTGTAACAATTGCTTTTTTAAAAATCATTGGATAACTTCCAGTTTTCAAACACATATTGATCAAATCCGTCAAGTACGGCAAAAACAGTTCAATGTGTTTTTTGAAAAGACTCGTCGGGATGGGAGCTTTCAAAATAACTGCCTTAACATCATCACTTGAGCACTCCAAAAATTCGATAATATTTGATGTTCTTTAACCTTACAACTGAAAAAGATACGTCATGCCCTATTATGGTTTTTTTAATGTTTTCAATCTTTTTCCTGAAAAACTCTGCAAATTCACTGGCAGTAATTTTATTGTTTGCTACATCAACCGAGTTAGTTTTTTTGTTACATAAAACCTTGTTTAAAACTCGCCATAACTGTTAGTTATGTTAAATCCAGTTAAATCCAGTTAAATCCAGTTCTGCCTATTAACCATGCATTTATTTTTCCTATATGTGCGTTCATACCTTCGACAATCACGTTTAATTCCTCTACAGTCACTATCAAACCATGGTGCAGTTGGAACCATTTTTGTTTCAACAACATGAAGAGGCGCAACAGTATTAGCAATTCTCATCATTTCATTGTTGACGAGCTCCGCTGCTCTATCTACATCATTGTCATTACAAGCACCATTTATCGGAGATCTATTAATCAAGGTAAGCAAATAATTTTCATCTACACGCTTCCATGCCCGTACAGTCTTTTTAACCTTTAACAAAGAAGAACAAGCTATTGGCAAACAAAATGAAACCAAACTGTGATCAGAAATTACACCACAAGGATATACCCTAACACGAGTAACAGGCATATTTATTACTGGTACCACCAAGTCCAACGTTCCACCATGCATATGTGTAGGTTCTTTTATTACATTTTGCATTGAAAACATGTCAAACACATTCGATAATAGCCTGGCATTAACATCATCATATCTTTCGACATGCACGGTCAAATCACCTAATAATATTACATGATCACTCAATAGCATTATGTTCTCCAGGATACTGGTCAATTCTTGAAAAAATGCTTTAGAAACCAACTGCGACCCTGGTCAATAAATGGCAAATAGTACTATGCAAATAGTACTATGCAAATAGTACTGTGCCTACTGTCAATATAACACAATTGCCTCAAATGTTAATAATTCCGGCAAAGCTATTTTTTTGTGTTTAAAGAGATCACGAAAGTAAATGATCAACCTCCCGTGATATGGATCATCTCTTCGCAAACAACCAACAAACCTGAATCCATGGGACATAGCTAGTTTAACTGAAACATCATCTGATGAACCATGCCAGGTTTCTGTTAACACAAGAATATCTAAGTCTTCATGTAATAATAGTGTCAGTCTTTGAAATTATTGATCTTATATTTAAGAGACCTAGACGTAATTTTTTCAAATATCCATCATTAATATCATCAGTCCTACCGCTATTAACTCCATCATCATCCCCGACACAAGTAACATTAATTCGACCATCATCAATAAATCTACCATCACGTCTATCATCATCACCACCACAACCACCCAATTGATCATTCACCATGTTACTTTCCCTATAGTTAATGACAAAATTCACATTACCAAAATTTCCACTTTTTTTTATTCATATCCGCCCATTGCCCCTACCGAAAATATTGCATTAACTTTTCTGTTTAAATCATTTATCAAATATTTAATGTCATCAAGTTCCTCAAATATTCCAGCAATATCGAAAGAATACATATTCAGTGCAATCTTTTTTTATTCGAACTATTCTCAAATTCGAACTATTCTGTAAACAAAATCCTCTTTATCAGCTGCCTCCTTCTCTTTCGCTAAATTCATCAATTCTCTACACTTGATTCTTTAATTTTTTTTCATATCGTGGCCAATACCTATTCCCTTCAGATCATCATTTAAATTTTTCAAATTATTCAGACTTTCCATAATTAAGTTTTTCAAAAAACCTTTGACTTCAGTCTAACCAACAGCGGCCTGACATTATCCGATCTCTTGCCCGATCTGTAGTGTTTAACAACATTTGACATATCAAATTTTTCATCTGTTATTGCACTGAGAATGCGCATAATCCTTTCATCATCTTCTTTTTTGCTATCATTAAAACCGAGGTTGTTACTTTCCTTCAATTTAAAAATTATAAAGTTGAACGATCTTTCTTCAACCTCACTTGATTGTTTGAATTGTTTTCTTTGTATTAATGACCTCTTCTTTTAGTGCCTTAATTCCATCATTCATACTCATCACTTCATTATTTACAGTTTCAACCTTCTTCCCAACAACATCTTTCACAGCATCTGAATACGACTTTCTAAGACCATCTTGTAGTGAATTTATTTTTTTATCCAGAATATCTTCCGTGATTTTTTTATCAAGTACTGTTTTTATCTCCTTTATTTAATGACGTTGTTGCAATCTTGTATGTTTTTTATATTATATATATATATATATATATATATAAGCAAGCTATAAAAAGAAATGTTGCACCAATCAACTATAATAAATGTATTAAACTCAGGACTTACTACAAAAACTATTGAACATCATATTTAGTACTAAAGAACAACTGCACCCCTAAAAACATTACTTTTTTTAAGTGTTATTATATAATATTCGAGTTCAAATGCTCTATTAACGAATGTGTGAGTGAACAACATTTGTTTATTAGTGTTAAAACCACTATACTATCGAGACGTTTCACAATGCATATACACCGATATACTATCGAGACATTTCACAATGCATAAACAAAGATGATCCATCAAGTCTAACCCACTAATTTTTTTGAATCACACTCACATATGCATTAATACGTATACATATCCAATTACCAATATTATTTTAGCTTTTACTAGCTTTTTGTAATCTATAATCTTTTTTTCAGTTTATAAATGCGATAAATAATGAAATTACTTAATAAAAATTACAAGTTGAGTTAAATATTCAAAATATTCAAATTTTGTACACAGCCGCATTAATCGTAAATATGGTGATACTCAAATGTTTATGCGCATGGGCTATATTTATGTACACAGTACATAAATGCTTGATTTGCTATCGACTCGCAGCACATTGATTTGTTCCTACCATTTTTACAAGCCTAATTAATTTGAGTTTGTCTAGTGGGACTTTTCCAACAAAGTATAAACATGCAATAGTTATCCCTCTTAAAAAAAAAGGGTTTGGACATCAATAATGTCAACAATTATAGACCGGTGTCAACTTTGTCATTTATTTCTAAAATTATTGAAAAAATTGTTGCTAAACAAATTATAAGTCATTTGAACGCAAATAATCTTTTACCGGTTAATCAATCTGGTTATAGGAAGCACCATTCAACTGAGACGTTGTTACTACAAGTAACATCAGAATTATTTAACGCTTCAGATGCTGGACAGATTTCTATACTAGCTCTCCTTGATATGAGTGCTGCCTTCGATTGCGTTGAGCATGATACTCTTCTTCGTCGTTTTTATATTAGTTATGGTATTATTGGTTCAGCGTTAGATTGGTTAAGGTCATATCATTTCAATCGGTCTCAACAAGTTTGTTTTAATAATGTCCTGTCTGATAGTGATTTTTTTACAATCTGGGATACCGCAGGGTTCTGTGCTGGGCCCACTGTTGTTTATGCTTTACACGGCTGATGTACTAAATGGGGTGAATGAATTTGGTTTCAGGGCATTTGCATATGCCGATGACATTTAGTTGGTTGCCAGCACTCCACCTAGTTTTGTTGTTGGTTTAAAAGAAAGACTTGATAACTGTCCTCTAAGATTGATGTTTGGATGGACCAAAATGGCATTCAAATGAATAAGTCCAAAACAAACTTACTTCCCGTTGGTACGTGGCAAAGACTGTCACAGACTGACTTAAATTCAGTTAAAATTGATGACACTGTAATTGATTTTTGCAGGAATTCAACTGTTTTTAGATTTACTATCGACGCCAATTTGAATATGTGTGAACAGGTGAAAAAAGTGTCTGCCATGTGCATGTTTCAGTTTCGTCGCCTTAGACTAATTAAAATGTGTTTAACTAAGAAAAGTTTATGCGCTCTTATGCACGCTTTCATTCATTCACGTCTTGACTACTGTAATAGTTTTTTGTATGGTGTTTCTAAAAAAGAAATAGCCATCCTGCAATCAGTTTAAAATAGGTCCGCCAGGATTGTTACCGGCAGTCGCTGGTGTGACCATATTACGCCAGTTTTAAACGGCCTCCACTGGCTGCCTATTAATAAGAGAATTATTTTTAAAATTGCTGCTATGGTTTTTAGATGTCTGAACAATTTGGCACCCAAATATTTGGCCGATAGATGTTTGCAAACAAAGGAGGTGTTGAGTGACTATGATTTGAGATCAAGTAGTGCTAATACGTTGGTCACGGCAGTGACCAGGCTTAAGATTTGTTTGCGTAATTTCTCTGTAAGATATCATCTGTTTGGAATGATCTTCCTTGTTGCTTGCGTCAAATTGGATTATCACTGGGTCAGTTCAAGAGGGAACTTAAAATCACTTGTTTTGAATCTGAGTTTTAGAAACTTGCTTTTTTTATAGAGCAGTAACAGCGCCTATGAGAACACTGTAAGTGTTATAATCGGCGCTTTATAAGTTTCCAAATAATAATAAATAATAAAAATGGATAATGGATTTATTCATTCGTTGAAACATTTATTTCATTATTGCTTATTTATTCATTTTGTAATACTATGTGGTAGTGTCAGAATCTAACATTAATAAGAAGGAACGAAATTTTAGCTCTAATAATAGTAGGTTTGTAACGGCTTTTACACTTAGGTGGAGAGGAATGAGTTCTAAAATTGGGAACAGCTATTTTGATAATTATCTGGATTATTTTGAGGCCAGTTTGGTTGATGAAGAAAAGAAATGTGTATTTGTAGTTGTAGATTGAATAAAATTGCTTAATGTGCAGAAGGTGATGTTTTAATTTGGGCTACTGATGAATCAATAAGAGTCGAAACGCGTCTAACCAAGAGCGAGTTAGGTGTTTAAATTAACGTACCTAAATGAGAATGTCGACAAATTCTCACTCCTATACATACTGTTATAACCATGCTACCGAACGCACTAGAATATTCTAGAACATGCTAGAATCGGACCATCTAAAAGAATCTAGAAACGACGCTTGCGAAGAGTATATAAGCGCACGTCGCAAGAAGATTAGCGATTAGTGAAATTCGTGATTTTGTAAATTCGTGACTCTGTGATTATGTGAATAGCGATTTGGTGAATTATTTAAAGCGATATTTGATTTGTTTGTTGACGTAGTCATAGCGATAGATTTTGAACAATTTAAAAGTTAATTGTTGTGTTAATTTGAATTTGCTAGAAATAAACGATTAGTTGATTTCTTCTGTAAATAAAGTTTAATAACTAATAACTGTTTGGAGTATTTTATTCAATCGAAGATTTGAACCCGTCGCATCGTAAATCGGTTACGACAGCGAGTATTATAACAATACTTACGTACTTGCTGCTAGCCAATACCCCATTTCATTTATTCAACAGAATAACAGTAAATGTTTTTTTTTCTTGAAAAATTTGGAGATTTCATTAAATAACAAAAAAAATTGAAGATTTTATCAGAAAATCATATCCAATAAGAACCATATTTATATATTAGCTTATAACATCTTTGTATCAAATAACTTTGTTATTCTTCACATAAAACACAACTATCTTAGGTCTTCTAAATGTGCTTTTTGCCGTTTAAGTATATTGTTGCACTTCATTTTATTTCGTGGTCTAACTTTATAATAACAAGTCATCTGGATATGAGTAATGAGATAGATTGTTTAATCAATTTTCAGTTTTTAAAAAATGCATAACAAATTTGATAATCTTTCAATATGTTTTACATTTTGCATCGAATTTACAAATAACGTAAATATTTCCGATTTCATTATTGTCTGATTTTGCGTTTTGCAAATGTTTATCGCACCCCATTTTATTATTCATAAAATATGGGCAGCAAATATAATATAGTTATTGTCTTTTTAAATTTTTACTTTTTTGAAATTGTTTCATAACTTGTATACTAGATTGAATATGATTTATGAACAACCACGTTTTGAAATGCAGCTGCTTTAATAATTTTCTTAGAAAAAACATAATTATTGTTATCTTTGCTATATTTGTAATCTTTGGATTGTAAACCATAGAAAATTGTAAAGAAATATTGAATCTATACCAAAAATCTAGACTATATTATTATGTCAATCAATTAACACACACACTTAAATACAAAGACTAACACACATAGAAACACGCAGACACACACAATCTGATTATGAACTGTAATTTACCACGACTTATTTCCACGGAAGGAAACACGGACAAAAACTAGACTAATGTGCAGGCATTCTGAGCATACGAGGTTAGCAACGCACACAGCGAAAAGCATACACATAGATACATACACAGACACATACAGATAACTACCCAACAAATAAGAGAAAGACGCACGTGACCGTAATTCATCACGACTGGCATGCAAATAATTTCCCATAAAAGTACAGACGGGGTAGTCAGATGTATGTACAATCATTTGCGCATACGAAATTAAGAATTAAGACGCCAACGCACACAGCAAAATGCATACACATAGACACATACCCAGACAAAAACACACTAAGAAACACTGAAAAAATAAAAGAAAGACGCATGAAAGACAGTAAAAAAAAAGACATGAAAAAAAGACAGTAATTCATCACGAAACTACAGACGAGGTAATTAGACCAATGTACAGCCATTAAGACGCCAATGCAGAAGCACAAACTACCACTCTCTCCTATATAAGGACATGCAGCGTCAAACAAAAGAGAGAAAGAGAAGTTTATAGGTAAATTCTCCAAAGACAGAGGTAAATTAATTCTGAAAGGCAGAAGTCTATTGGTTCTATAAGACAATGGTCTATTGGTTCTATAAGACAAGGGTCTATTCGTTCTATTCACTCGATTCATTCTTCTCGTTTCACATTTTATTGCTTAACTTAGAATAAAGAATGATTAAACCGAAATGTGTGAGTTTGTGTTTAATTTACTTTAACATAGTATTTCTAATCATCGTAACTAATCTAATAACTAAGTCATAAAAGTCACCAATTTAATTGTCACCACTTTGCACTAATTTAACGATGATCGAGTTTGATCGTGAGCATCAAATCAGTGATCTGCTAGTTCTCTGTTTTCACGTAGATGCGGCATTCAACGCAATAACAGGATAGCGAACCGGCGTCAAGCGTAACACAACACTCTTCCTAACATGCTAGAAACATATAACACACGTCTACAATCTACATAATATGGTGAAGAACTGGGGTATTAACATAAGAAGAAGCATAGCAATATACGCAATAATGTATTGGTTGACAGTCAAGTTTGCAGTCAGGTATCCGGCAGAGAAAGCGAAGTCGTAAATGTGATTTATGTAGTTACTTGGAATAGTTTGATGTTTCTATTACTGTTATAAATAAACGTTCAACAAAGTTTGCGTTGAAAGTAGTTGTGTTCATCTATCAGAAATCTTGAACATACGGAATAACAAACACTTGACCATCGTTGGAAGCTACAACACTGGTGTCGGAAATATAGCGATCTTTGAAGTTATAACATCGGCGTTGGCAATTACGAGCGTCAAAGGTTACAACAATATATTCATACATATTCAAAAGAAATAATAATAATGTCATTTAATATAGCGCCCTGACAAGCGACTGAGGCGCATTATCATTATTACAAAAAACACACGGTGCATAAATACACGTGAATCAACGCATCACAAACTTTTGCATGTGACAGACGGGAATCTTTGCATTCGAACCCGGACACTGCATCAACAATGCCAGGCACTTTAACTAATACACCATCGCGCCGCCCATTAAATAAATAGGAGATCTAATAATAAATAAATCTGCGATAATTGATAAGTATAAATCCGGGCCCCCAAAAATTCCGTGCCCTAGATATCTGTCTCATTTGTCTATTGGTTAATTTGGCCTTGACCCTGTCATGTTCATATTTAATGGTTTGATATTTTCGGTATTAAAGATGAATATCGAATTTGTGTTAATTTATTCAAAAAATATTTAAAATAAAACATTTAATATTTATTTTTTTATTTTGCTATTCGCAAACTGTTTACATTTTTAAAGCATAATGTGTAATTTATGTTATTTATACTACTGTAAATTTTCTTGATTATTTCTTGCAGAACACGGTGTTTCTTTGGCAAACGGTGAATAATATCAAAACAAACGCCTATTAAATAAATTAATCAGACATTATAAATTGGCTTACCAATTGAATAAAAAATAAGTTTGAGTTACCGTTAGCATAGTAACACAACCTATCACAAAGGAGGCATAACCAAATTCCAAAACGTCCAACAACCATCCTCCAGCTAATGGTCCAATAAAAGCACTAAAGTATTATTTAGAATATATGTATGTTATATATTGTGACTAAAAAAGTTGTGAAAAAACCCTAGAGAAAAAAAAGAGTTCACTAGGCCTGATATTAATCCGTATGTTGACAAAGTATCAGGATATCCTTTAGCTCTTTAAATAAAAATTCAATGCTTTTTAAATTTAAATTATTTTAAATGCAGTTGTTTACCAACTGAATTTTATGTTTGACTAACATTGTAGTTTCGGTTATAATTTGAAATGTTATCGTCAAAGTGCTTATACCAAGACCACCAAAAATCAAGCAAAGGATCAATAGTACTAAATTTGATCTGTAAATATTTATTGTTAAAGTTAAAAATAATTAAATCATGAATGCTAGATGAGCTGAAATAGATAACAACAGCTGAATTGAATATAAAGATGTGATAAGAACGTGGTCTGAATATTGTAATACATGTATAGATAATTTTTAATTTAATATATTTATTGTTTATTTTTAAAAATATACTCACTGAATATTAAAAAATGGAGCCGGTCCAATAAAAAATAGCGAAAGTCCGGCCATCACATATCCGAATGAAATGATGTATAATGACATTTTAGGCTGAAAATTTTATATTAAACTCAGAATACAATTAAATTGAATTAAAAAGTTTATTTTGATAAAATATTTAATTCTTTTATGTAATAAGAGCGTGATCCAAATGATATTCTGCACTGTGGTAGCTTCTAGTAAGTTTAAAAACAGCGAAATCTACGAATATGGTGATAGACAAGTCGAGCTGATGCCTGTGTTTGATCTGCGGGTATCTCCACGAAACCTGGTAGATCTTTTTACCGTTGAAAAATGGATTTGTTACAAAAAGTCTATGAGAAAACAGAATTCAAAAAGACGTTAACCATTTCATTTAGCTTACCTATGGCAAACTTTCCTACACACGTCGGCCAATTCCAATGATTCACCCCTATCCTTGCATTGGGGTGAATCATGGATTTTGTTTTTCTTATTGTTTTCTCACAAAAAAAGCGCTTGCTCTGGGCACTCCGGACATGGTGCCGTCCAACATCTTACGATCTTTTGCTTCAGACGTAAAACAAAGCGTTGAGATATTTGCAGTGACAATATCGTCCATGCCGGAGACAGTTGATAAACGCAGAGATACCATCTTTTCGAACCGCCCCTTGGTGGGAAAGCTATTCTTGACTGCATAGAATTTTTTTACTTTTTTTTTTACTTTCATCCTACTGATAAAAAGTATAGATGATTTGTCTTATAAAAGCGAGTTTCCTGGAGGCAAGCGATGTCACCGTTGAGCTTAATCAATCCCGTCACTATGACGGCTATTTTTCTCATATCGTCCAACTGATGCAAATTGGTAAAGTGTGAACTAGCAAGCTAAAAAATTGAAGATTAGGTTTTTGTTTGTATTTTGGTGATGTGGTTTAACGGCAACCTTATAATCTCTAAGATCACGCACCCAGTGGAATAAGTCAGCCATGACGGTACAGCACTTTATTGACTAGGAGCTCTTAGTCCAAGCTGGCAGTAGCTGTTCAAAAATCAATCAATCAATCATCGTTTAACGTCCAGAGACTCAGCTCTCCCGAGGTAGGATGTTGTTTTCTTTGCCATCAATTTTAAATTTAAATTAGGCGATCAGTTGTATCCATTTCATTTAAATTTAGAGCTTTCATGTCTTGCTCAATTGTTTGCGACCAGGACTTCTTTTGACGGCCTCTGGAACGTGTGCCAGATACTTCAACATTTGCAAGAAAAGTTAGGGCACTGTTTCCACTTCGTTTGACATGACGAAACCACCTCAGACGGTGTTGCCGGCATTCGTCCTTTATATCATCTAAACCAGCACGACGCAGGATTTCGGTAGATTTGATGTGGTCCTTCAAACTAATTTGTTGCATCCATCTGAGCATTTTCATATCGGTTCGGTGAAGTTGTTGTTCCAGTTTGGTTGTCATTGGCCATGTTTCTGCACCATATAACAACACCGGACGTATCACAGATTTATAAAGTATTGATCGTAGTGGTATGTCACGCCGCATCAATATAGAGGCAAGGAGATGCCATTTATTCCAGGCTGCACGTATGCGTGCTCGAACGGCAGCTTCAGCTGTTCCAGTACAATCCAGAACATCCCCTAGATACTGAAACGATGTGACTTTTTCTACCTTAATGGCTTCAAAAACGTTGCTATTTTAAATTTGTTGCTGTGGATTGATGCAAGCAGGACAAACAAATTGGACACTATATATAAATTACCAATTATTTTAAAAAAAAACGTTTGTGACACCACTGGTTACACTGCTGGCACTTGAATGAATTGTTACCAACACCAGCTTTACAAACTGAGCAGGACCATCGTCCAGTAGCTGTGGATTGAATGAATTCACCAGTGTTCATTGCTTTGGTTTTGCTGATGTTGACTTTGAATCCATGATCAGCCAGTCTAGTGTTTCAATCTTCAAACATCTGTGCTGCGTTCTGCTCAGACGTGACTGTTAAAACAATATCATCAGCCTATATTAGATTCCAAATGTTTGTCACCAGTACGTATCGGCTTTGTGATTTTTTCCATCACAGTTATACTGGTGAACTCCAACGCCGATGTCAAATGCATCTGTGTTTCCAACCGTTGTGCTAACGAGAGTCTTAGTATTGGTATACATTTCCATTACAGTCGAACAAGATATCCTGGAATGAGTTGTCGACGTAGACTCCACCTGATTGCTTCACGGGGAACTCGATCAAATGTTTTTTCAAAGTTTATAAAAATGTGATAGTTGTTGATGCTTTGCGAGGTACTTCTCTTGCAGTTGCCGAAGGATGTGAATTGTATCAATTGTTGATTTCCCCGCTAGGAAACCAAATTGATAATTTCCGATTGTGATGCACGACGTTAATCTTTTCTCAATGATTTTCTCGACAATTTTCAGAGAGTGTTCTAACAGACATATACCACAATATGATGAACAATTTAATGGATCACTTTTGCCTTTGTGTAGCGGAACAGTCATGTTATAGTTCCATTCAGTCGGCATTGAGCAATTACTCCAGATTTCACGGCGAAGTTGTGTTCAAAAAGATGCAAAAATCTTTCCCATTTTTTCAGAAAAAGGTATAGCCACAAGGCAATGAGCGTTTGTAGTCAATGCCTTATTGATTATTTCTCTCATATCAGATAAATTTAGATATAAAAGGTAAATTACCACTGGGTAAAGAAACTAAAAAAATTAGTTATTTTCTAGGCAGCAAACTTTCCCTTTCCGCAAAGCAAAAGTGGACAGAAAAATATCAAATGGTTATACAGCTTGTTGCTGAAGTTAATATATATGTCATCTGCCACCTATGAGACTTTGACTTCTGATTTTTTGCCAAATTTACATCGCTTAGCCCTTTTCAGAAAAAGGTATAGCCACAAGGCAATAAGCGTTTGTAATCAAATTTTTTTTCTCTTAGATGGGTTTCCAAATAAAACCAGCAAGTCCCATCTACTCGGAGCAAATGATTTTAAAGTGCCAGTTAATCGTCTTTGCCTCTTTTTTTGTTAGTTGAAACAGAATCCCCTCGTGAAAGTCAGGTGCTGGATTTTGTCAAAGGCTGTATTTGAAGCACGCCATGAAAGTATTTTATACATGTCCAGAGCTCATCCTCTTTACCATCTCTGGCTATGACAGTCTTTGAAATCACAACAACCATCACAACTTGAAAATTGCCAAAATACTATTGAGAATTTTGAAAAAAATTTCAAAAGACAATGTTGCTTCAGTCAAAATTCATTAAAAAATAAAGTTTGGCTAAGGTTGTTTTGGCTAACGCCATGTACTTTAATAAGACAATATTTATAAGTCAATTTTGCAACATCCATCATATCATAACATCGTGTTTTCATATTTATTACTACGCTTACTAACCACATATAAACAAAACCACTATTTTTAAAAATTTTTCCTTAACACAAAATGGGGCTAAATTTTTTACAAAACCCGTATATATTGTTGTAACTTGCACTATCGTCAGTTATTCAATCTACAGTAAGTTCACTGATTTATGATAGATAAACACTAAAACTTCAAACACAGACTTGCTTAAATTCTAATTTGAATGCCAACAGTAATAGAACCAATAAATGATACTCCAATCACTTAAATGTTCTAGATGTCGCACGACCGCTAATAATTCACAACTTAACGTTTTTTGCGATGTCTATGGTTTACCCGACATCGTGTTTTGGATTTTCAATCTCTAAATTTTCCGTTATAAACTAAAGTTTTTGCTTATTTTCCTTCAATAAAACAATAATTAATTTTTTCTGACAACGTTTTAAAATTTTGTAAAAGTTTTCGTTGCTGTAATACATTTTGGTTACTAATTATTGCTCACATCCTCAATCGAATGATCCAATACACACGCCAACAATTGCTTGATTTTCTACCGGACAAATTCGCCATCAAAAGACACCTAAAAAAAACTCTTTTCCTCAACAAAATTTAGAACCCAGATCATCACCAACACCTCTCCACTTTTCTTCAATTGCAACAGCACTCTACAAAAACTTCAACATCAACACCCCGGGCCATCTACCTCAATCGCTACAACAATCTACAACAACTTCAACATCAACAGCCCCAGCCCATCTACCTAGCACTAATTTATCATCAGCAATACCAGTACTAGTTTCATCAACCCGTAAAAGATGAAACCACCTCAGTCGACATTCCTCACTTAATCATCCCAATCTCAACATCAAATTCACCCCGACTTAAAACCCGGCCAAAATCACCCCATGTCATCCACCCACCATCTACATTTTGAATGTCACTAGCAATGTCAAGCCACATGCTGTTGAGCATTTGAGATGTGATGTATATCATCTACACCCTGACATCATCATCATCACCGAGTCATGGCTTAGGCCAGATCACCCTGATGGTTTGATCGCAATAGATGGCTACACATCCTTCAGAAAAAACCGCCCTGGCAAGCGGCGAGAAGGAGGCCTTGTCATCTATTTGAAATCATCCATCTCATCTCAAATTCACATCGTTTCACCTTATGCTGTTAATGATACACTGGAAACCTTTTGTCTCAAGTGCATTATTGACAGTAAACCATACTTCATCTGTGCCATCTATCATCCACCAAATCATCCATCATACAAAGTCTCCACCATGATGGGTAACATCGATGAACTCTCTAACACTGCGCTGGAGAGCGACTCAAAACTCATCATTGGGTGTGACTTCAATCAACTCGACCATCATTCCATCCTTCAAACAGGTTTACACCCTATATTTTGGGGCCCCACCCACCAAGGTCACAACCTTGACAGGATATATGGGATTAATGTAAACCTGGACATCACTTACATTTATAGGTCGCATGTTTCAACACATCATCTTGGGGTGGTTGCTGCTCCTCCACCTCCACCAACTAACTCAACATCAAGAAACAACACCACTAGAAATGTCATCTCATTTTGCCGTCGTCATCCTTCGCAGAGTAGCGCCTGCCTTCAACATCTCAACAACATCGACTTCAATAATATCATCGACTTCAACATTACCACCACCAACAATTTTCTGCCAGCAATTTTTAATAATAATACAATTAATTTTGATAATATTAAAACTAACCATGTTAATAATAGTCCTACTAAGAATAATAATAATAGTAACAATAAAAATAATATTAACAATGGTGCCAATAATAATAATAATAACAATGTTAACGATAATACGATCTTAACTAACTCTATTGACAATTTTTTGCCACACTGTTTTGATAAATTTTATAAAATCATCAATTCAACTTATAATAGGTACTGCCCAGCATCAAACATCACAATCAGATCATCAGACTTTCCATTTATCAGCCCATTCATCAAATTTCTATTTCGCCAAAAAAAATAAAATCATGAAATTAGGATCCATCCTCAAAACCGCAGCAATTACCAAATACATCAATAAACTAATCATCAACTTCAACTCAAAAACTTTCACTAACAGTAAGCGTGGAAGCAAAGCCATGTGGGGCCAAGTAAACAAGATTAGAGGCTCTGACAAATCATTCAACACGTCAACCTTAAAGCAAATTGATGCCAACACACTCAACACCAAATTTGCTTCCATGTCAACCGACCCGTCCTACAAATAGTCGTCAACATCAACAATTTACCCTATACTCCGTCCTGCACATGCTAGCGAAGGCTCGCCCATCCGGTACAGGTCCAGACAATCTACAAGCATGGTTTTCACAGATCATCGCTCCATTCATCTCCAGCACCTCAAGTTCACTCTACAATCACTGCTTAATGCACTCATTCATCCCATCACAATGGAAATCCAGCACAATATATCCAATTCCTAAAACAAAATATCTATCATCACCAATAGATTATCGTCCAATATCTATCACCTCCATACTCTCACGTATTCTAGAAAAATTAATCGTTAGGTCATTCATCTATCCATGGTTCAACCATCCATCCATCAAACCACTATTACAAGATCAGCTTGCATTTTGCCCTACAGGTTCATCTATATCCGATATCATCTCTCTTACTTCCACAATAACATCTTTCCTTAAAAATAATAACTATATTCATCTTATTGCCCTCGACTTTTCTAAAGCTATTGACACTCTTAATCACATCTCATTTTCAAATAAGTTAACCTCTCTTCTTCTACCTGACAACATTTACAATATCGTAATAAATTTTCTATCTAATAGAAGTCATTCTACTTTTTTTAGCTTTATTCTTTCATTTACTCTACCTATTAACCCTAGCGTAGTTCAAGGTTCTGTTCTTGGACCATCTACCTTTATCATCAATGCTTCTACTCTCAAAACTTTTCATGGCTATAATCAAATCATCAAATACGCTGACGACGCCTACCTTATCATCCTATCATCAAACTCAAACAACATCCAATGAGAACTTGAATCATTAACTACATGGTCAAAACGATGCAACCTGTCACTTAATCTCAAAAAATCATTCGAACTCATCATTCACAATAGCTGTAAAAAATAACATTAGCCTACTTCCTGAACACCCATCAATCACTCGCACAAGTCAATTAAAAATATTAGGCATCACATTCACCTCCACACTCAATATAGCACCTCAATCAATCAATCAATCAATCAATCAATCAATCAATCAATCAATCAATCAATCAATCAATCAATCAATCAATCAATCAATCAATCAATCAATCAATCAATCAATCAATCAATCAATCAATCAGCTTATAAAGCGCTATTTCCGCGATGTTCAACAGCGCTCCTCAATGAATTTTGAAAACAGATGGGTCTTGAGATCCGCTCTGAACTTCACAAGTGATGGAGAAGTAGTCAGAGAAGTAGGTAGAGAGTTCCAGAGAAAAAGACCAGAAAAAGCAAAAGTAAATTTGGCAAAAGGGTGTTTAACACGAGTTAAGAAAAAGCGAGAAGAAGAAGACGATCGTAAACCGGGGCGTTTAGGTTCAATTAATATATCTGATTAATACTTAGGAGGAACAATGGGATTTGTTGATCTTTAATCAATTAAATTAACTGTGTTTTCCACTGAAAGAGAACTAAATTTCAATTAGTTACACTAGTCAATAAAATTTTATCAGTGACCTTAACCTGGACTAAGCTTTTCAAACTCAAGCTACACCATTGAATAGTAGCATATACATATTTGATGGTGAAATCATTATGCTGCAGTGGTAAGGTGCCTGTCACTGCTATTGCAGTAACCGGGTTCGAATGCTAATCCCCGCTTATCACATGCAGTGTATGTGATACGATGATCCACGAAAATTTAAATGCACTGTGTGTTTGTTGTTAATACCTGTAAAAAATGCTGAAGAGAAAATAAAATAAATTATTTAAAATTGGTAACAATGTTAAAATTAAATGCAAACAAAACTGATTTAAAGTGATTGAATAAAATTAAATTTTTTCATTAACCAATTGAAAAAAATTGTTTGTAACGAAACAATTCGACAAACGATGAAAAAAATTAATATAAGAATTTAAAATTTTGCATATTCTTACTTTATATTCTACAATTCTTCCCCATATTGGCGACATTATAGAATAAGCTAGTGGTTCAACGAGAAAGACCAAGCCAACCCAAAATGGAGATAAATGGAACTGTTAGTAGGGTAAGAAATTTTTATGCAGTTGTTAATAATTGAAAAAGTTAGTGAAAAATTGTAGAGTGAAATTACTGACATATTATTTTGGAATGTTCTTTTACGAGTAGAATTTTTCTGTGATATATCAAATTATGTGACTTTGTTTATTTTAAATGAAAAAAGTCTATCATTAGCTAGAAATAATATTATTTATACGGTATCAAAAAGTCGATGAGCCACATTTTAGGCTTTTCACTGAGGTCTATTTCCACGTTAGTGCTCTTTAGTGCTGTATCAATTATTGTCTACGCTAGTCACCCCTCTTAGGTATGGCTGGAAAAGATAGAAAAATGGGAGCCCTCAAATGCCGCTAGTCTTTAATTTTGCAATATAGTTAGTGCTGTACTAATTTTCGTTAGTGCTAGTCTTACTTAAAAAGTGTGAGTGGGGGCTTAAAAATGATAGTTCATTAAAACGCCGCTAGAGACTGAACATTTGCAGTATCATTAGTGCTATGTTGGAGCGTTTTAGTGCCATATTTTGTTTTGCTATTGTTGGTCTGGCTCCCGTTAAAGGTTTGTTTCCCCACTCATAAATAAGATGTTCAAAATTAAAGATTGTTTAGTGCTATCTACATTATAGTCTTTAGTACAGGGCTGTCTCATCAATTTTTTATTTTTTATTCATTGAACATTAGCCAATATGAAAATCCATTTCAACTGAATGCGAGTGTATATATTAATTTTTATTACCGAAAACTTTAATTTTGCGTTTAAAATGTTATATTAATGATTTTTATTATGGTGTAATTGCGTTGAACTAATTTGAATTAATAAAATAGCAAAATGATATATTTACATAATTGTTTCTTGGTGGTGTCAGATAGAGTTTTGTTAGTTAAAATACACGCAGAACTTTTTAATCAAGCTGTTAATCAAGTTTATGCGCCAACATCTGAAAGCAATAAAGAAGACGTTGATGCTTTTTACAATGATCTTGATGATGCCTTAAAAACATGTAAATCTCAAGAAATTGTTGTTATGATGGGTGACTTGAAAACAAAAGTTGGCTTAGTAAAAATGCATGACGTGGTTGGTTCTCATGGTATAGGTGAAAGAAATTAAAGAGGAGAAATGCTGATTAAATGGTGTGTCACAAATAATCAATTTATTACCAAAACCTGGCTTGACAATCACCCAAAGAGAAAATATACTTAGAAAAGTCCCGGAAACAAAGTAAAAAATATGATTGATTACAGTACAATAAGTAGACGATTTCAAAATGCTGTTTTACAATACAAAGATTACCATGGAGCTGATTGTGGCAGTAATTATAACCCAGTTGTTTGTAAAATTAAGATTAAGTTAAAGAAAATTAAGAGAGAAGTGGCTCCAAAATGTTTGAATTTTGTCGGTCTGTCTCAAAATGATGAGATAAAGGTCAAGTATAACGTTGAAGTACGGAATCGTTTTTAGTTATTGACGGAAAACGTAAATTAATCTAAATATAAAATATTTAGAGATGCCTTCATAAAATCAGTAAGAGAAGTTATACCTGTGAAGGAGCAAAGAAGAGGTCAGAAATGGATAACAGATTACATCGAATCTTTGATGGATGAACAAAGAAAAGTAAAAAGTTGCAATCCTGATAGATCCTGAAAACAATAAAAAAAATGTGCTTAGAGGCAAAGGGAAAATGATTAAATGGCAAGTGCAAAATCCTTAAAAAGATAAAAAACAGTAATATAAATGCAATGTATAAAAACATCAAAGAACTCACATGAAAACAGGCTTGTACCGTTACTGGATGCATTAAAGCTAAATCCAGTGAAGTAATCTTAGAGAAAGAAAAAGTACTTGAAAGATGGACTAAATACATTAACAATCTTTTTAATAATGATTTCCGTGGTGAAAAGCCTCCCATTAAAAAAGACTTAGAAGGACCAAAGAGATACTTTAGAAATTAAATGCCTTGATAAATTTGGCATTGAAAAAGTGACAGAAATTTTTAATAAAATTTATAACACCGGCAAAATTCCTAAAGATCTATCCAAGTCAGTATTTATTGCATTGCCTAAAAAACATAATGCAATAGAATGTAAATTACATCAAACAATCAGCTTGATGAGTCATCTTACAAAACTTCTTTTAAGAATTCTGATGATGAGAGCCCGAAGCAAAATCAGATCTGAAATTTCAAATGTCCAATGTGGTTTTTTAGAGGATTCTGGCATAAAAAACGCTATTGTTATGCTACTAATAATTAGTGAACGAGTGATTGAAATGAAGAAAGACTTGTTTATATTTTAATGATAGCGTGAAACACGTGGAGATTATGGAAATATTGAAAAAATTTGGACATTAATGGAAATGACACTAGAGTTATCAAAAACATTTATTGGGAACAAAGGGCAGCGATGAAAGTTGGTAACAGGTGACCAGTTTTGTCGAAATAAAAAAAAGTGTTAGGCAAGGCTGTGTATTCTATCCAAACATGCACAGTCTTTATAGTGAGATCATCATGAAAAAAATAGAAGATCTACCTGGAATATTTATGGAAGGCGTGAATATTAACAAAGCAAGATATGCTGATAATACAGCTTTTATAGCAAATTCAATAGAAAAACTGCAAACAATTGTTTCCAAACTGGTTTTTGAGAATTAAAGGAAAGGCTTGCAAATTAACATTAACAAAACATAGTGCATGGTTATTAGTAAAAGCAAAACCGCCCCGATCTGCTCCATAATCATTAATGGTAAACAAGTGAAACAAGTCAACAGCTACAATTATTTCCGAAGTCTGATTACCTCAGGTTGTAAATGTGATATGGACATCAAAAAGAGGGATATCTATGGCAAAAGATGCATATTCTAAAATGAAAAACATCCTCATCAACAGTAAAATCAGAATATCAACAAAATTAAAACTGTTAGGGCGTTACATTTTTTCTGTGCTAACTTACGACCATGAGTCCTGGACAATTTCTAAAAAAAATGAAAAAAAAGATTAACGCTGCTGAGATGTAGTTTTTGAGAAGAATTATAAAAATTTGTTAAACCTCTTATAATTTGAATAAGGATATGTTAAAACAGTCCGGTTATGAAAAAAAAAATTACTACAGATAATCCGACGGGGGCAGTTAAAGTTTTTGGTCACAAAGAATTGAAAATCTAACAACTACTGGAAAGGTTGCAGGGAAAAGAGATCGCGGTCAAAATTTTAAACTACACATCTGATTAAGTAATAAGGTCAGAGGTGTAGCTAAGGGATAGTTGAAGCAAATTTGCAACAACTTTAAGTCCCCTTCCAATAACAATTTTTGGCTATACCTTTGAATAAGAAAAGAGATGTGGACCGAAGCAACCCACCACTAAACTTTTCTGGCTCCAAATCCATCCTTAAGTCCTTGTGTCACTTGTTGAATATCACCACATTTCAACTCTTACAGAGTGTTAAAGATCGGGTTTTGTGGAGGTCGATGATTGCCAATGTCCTGAAAGGATAAAGCACAAAAAAGAAGAAGACATAATGATATGAGTAGATGTACAAAACGTGATTGCGATAAATTTTGAAAACATTTGAATTCTAGTAGAAAATTTGTTATAAATTAAAAATTGTTTTTCAATATTCAAAAAAACCCAGAAGAATCAGACTTTTAATGGGATTGAAAAAAATATTAAACACGACATCGAAAAAATTTCGATTAAAATGCAATAATATAAGTTGCTTGTCTTGAAAGTCTTGAAAATGCAAAAGCATGGTCAAAGGGGGGACTTGGAGCTGAAGCACCCACAATACAATATGTAGCTAGTGTTAAATAAAAGCAAATTGAACAAATATTTTACATAAATCTATAAAAATTAGGAGTGGATATTGTTTCAGTCTCCAAATAACAATAAAATTATGTTAAATTTAACAAGAAACCACTGTTTTTTGAAACAACTTTACACAATTTTTTGGCTACGCCACCCTGAGACTGATTAATGTTTCAGAAAAAGGCAACTAATATAAAAACTACTAAAACTTACAGTATGTTGGATTGCAGTATAAAATGATCATTTTCCAGAAATGGCTAGCACTTCACTATCCTTTATATTTACGTGATAATGTTAAACTCAAATAGACTCAATATTTCAAACCTCGAGCATTTTTATGTTTCACTAACGCTACCTACACCACGTGAATTGGGCACCAGTGAGATAGTGATGGAGTGTATGTTCAACGACTAGCGTTATCGGGTTTGATATCGTGCTTATAAAAAAAACGTACTGTTACAACCGTCACAAATATATTTGCTAGAGGGCTAGTTGTCACTACGAACGCATAAAATTCGAGGAGGGACTAGAAAATTCAGTCGGCGATATATATAGGAAGTTCGAGAAGCGTCGGTGAAACGGGTAAATAAAGGCACGCGAGATAATTAATGGTGGTCGTTGTTGCCGAGTATTTGACATTAGAAGCGATTGATTGTCAGTGTCGAAAGCGATATTTGATATTTGACTGCGTTTTTATTGTATTTGTGATAAAAGTTAGTGAATTGTTATTTGGAAAGCGATAGTTTGTGAACATTAACTTTTATTAGTGAAAATAATTAAAGTTGATTATTGAATAATTAATTAATTAATTATTGTTTGTTTTGTAAATAAATAAATCGATAATTTGAAAATTATATTGCCACCATTTTTCACTGGGATTAAACAAACTCGTCATCAAACCAGCCAATTACAACAATGCATAATTTTTTTTTTTGGAAAAATGTTTTTAATACAAATCAATTCGTGCCATGTTTAATGTAACTTTTTAGTTTGAAAAAGTATAGGGGGAAAAAACAATAAATAGTAACTTTTTTCTAAGAAACGGCACTAACGAAACATAAACTATCTTAATATGATACCTACAATTTACATCCAGTTCTGTGGCTAATAGCTAGCTGCACACTTAACTAAATTTCACCATTAAAACTTTATATTCATTCAACCATTTTTACTCTCTTTCCTCCAACAAGGCATCATCTACTTATAAATCTAGTTTAATTCATTTATATTTCTTATTTTTCTACTCAACTATTAGATATGTTTTGAAAGCAATATTATCTCAACAATTTTTTTCGTTTTTATTCATTTATTTATTTTCTTTATTATTTTCCTCTCAATTTCCAAGTCTCACACAATTAATGATTTATTATCATCTACGCAATCTGCTTTGTTATAGATTTGTTTTTATTTCTATTTCTGTTCTTATTGTTTTTGTATTGTTTTTGTTTGTTGAAACATATTTTGCGTTTAACAGTGAATGAATTAAATTTAGAAATACTTTTCTAACTTATTTAGATCAAGGAGCATTATTTTGCTTTAGCTTCATTAATTTTCATATTAAAACCAGCTATATTATATCGAATGATACTGTTGCTAGGACTCTAAAAGGCTGGCTGAACCAATTTGAAAATAAAATATTTATATACATTTTGGCAAATTTAATCTTAATTCCTACAAAAATATTTATTATGGGATGTCTTCAACCACGAAGACATGTCTCTGTCGTCAATTAACTTGCGTTTTAACTTAAATCGCTGATTTTTTTCAATGCATCAACTAATGAATTTTATTACCTTTTCTAAAAGCTGATTTTTTCCCATATCTATTTTGCTTTTAATATTTTCTTTACAAGGCGATTATAAATGGTCTTTTAATAATAGTAATTATAATTATAATAGTAATAAACTGTATCGGTCTACGATTGAGAGTAACTTGTTAAATAAGAACTAACTTGTTATAAAAAAGAACTTTAGAATGACAACGCCCCAAAAATATTCAAATTATTGTATATTTGTGTGTGTAAATGTGAACATTAAAATTGATCAAAAATGTGTTAATAAACAAATGCTTACACTTTTCGTAAGGTGTACCGACAATGAAACATCAAGATAACCCATACTACAAGAACCGGCTAGCAAGCACAGACACGTCAACGTAATGACCGGGTATTTCAATAATTTAAAAACGCTGTCTTTCCTTGGTAAATCATTTACTGTAATAAAATTTTTAGCAAATAGAATTTTGATGTTAATTTTTTCATGAAAATTTATATTTTTAACAGGGCATCGAACCGGTACTGAACCGTAGCCGAAAACCGTTAAAAACCGAAATTTAGCTCGGAACAAAAACCGTAACCAAATCGAAATATTATTTGCTAGTTTAACTGAAACTGAAAACCGTAACGAAATAAATAACGGTTTGATGCTAAAATTTAAAGGAAATATTTTAACAACTTTAATGAAAACAATAACAATAAAAAGTGAAAGTTTTTAAGGGTGGTAAGGGTTCTTTATATTGAAATAATATATATGTATATTATATATGTTTCAATATATTTATGACTTTCCATAGTTTCAGACAATCTTACATTATTGCTAACTTGACTAACTTGCACGTGTATGCTTTTCGCTTTTTGTCGACTAACGTGTCTTCTAATATTTCAATTTACGTTTCTTTAATAAACAATTATATTAAAAACAAACAAAGAAGTTTTTTATTTTAAACATTTTAATGTTTTTTTCAATTAGGAGCCCCTATCTCCGAGTTTACCAAATTTTGCTTTTAAGAAATTTTTAAAGACGAGTTTTATATTAATATATTTTAAATTTAGAATGGGACAAAGCCGAGAATACGCCAACCGAGAATTTTTAAATATGATAAAATGGACAATTATAATATTTGTAAAGCTGTTATAATAGGAGATCACGCTGCCAACTTGGAGCGTCATTTGAAGAGTTATCATTATGAGAAGTTTGATAGTGTTCAGCAAAGAAAAAAGTTAAAGTATGATGAAACGACAGCTATTGCTGTTAAATTTCTTGTCACGTAGATCGTTTAATTAATTGATATAATATTGAAAGACATTAAAAGAAGAGAAATAAACTAAACAACGTTCTTGACTTGTTTATTATTAACCGGATCAACAGAAAAGGAAAAGTGAAGTTACATACAAAGCAAAGAACATTTGGTCCAAAAATATAAATGTATATCATAAATCAAAATGTTTTAAAATAAAACATAAAACTTAACACCTTCTCATTTTATTTAAAACATTAGTCGACCTTTACATAAATGTTCTGAAGGCCCATCACATACATCAGATTCTTAAGTCTTAGTCCTACCATTGGTTTTGTGAGGGCATCAGCAACTTGAAGTTCTGTCGCAACTAGTTCAACTGAAACTTTTTTTTCTGCAACCTTTTCTCTGACAAAGAAATGTCTAATGTGGATATGTTTTGTTCTTCTGTGAAGTTCTGGATTATGTGCTAAACGAATGGCTGCTTCATTGTCGACAAAAATTTCTGGCTTTTTCTTTAGATCTACAATGTCGTTCAACAATCGTTTGAGCCATATCACTTCACGAGCTGCTTCACTTTCGGCAACGATTTCTGCTTCAGTAGTTGAAATCGCAACTGAGGATTGACGTTGGCTAAACCAACTGATCAAGCTTTCTCCAAACATACAGATTACACCTGATGTCGATCTTCCACTAGATTTATCTCCTCCATGATCTGCATCACTGTAGGCTATAACTGTATTGTTTTGACCAGACTTATAAACAATACCGACATCAGGTGTTCCTTGCAAATATCTGAAAATTTGCTACATTGGACTTGCTGGGTTTCTCCAAACTTCTGGATGCTACTCCAACTGCATATGCAATATCTGGTATTGTTCCCGCCATCAAGTACATCAATGCACCAACTGCAAATCTGTAAGGAAATTTAATTTCCTAGTGTTCATTTTTGTTTTCATCTAACTCCTCAAATTTTGTAATCGGAATTGTACAGGATTTACACTGGCTCATTCCAAACTTTTCAAGAAACATTCTAGTATACGATGACTGACTGACTTTAATATTTCCTTTCTCATCTTGATTAATTTCTAATCCAAGAAAATATGTTGCAGGTTTAGATGTTATCTTGAACTCTGACTTTAATTCTTTTTCAAAAATTTTTTGTTCTTCTTTATCGGTTCCTGCAACTAGTCCATCATCAACATACAGTGCAAGTATGAGTTTCTTTTCTCCCTGTATTCTAATGAACAAACAAGTATCTGCATCTCTTTGTTTGAAATGTCTCTTTTCAAGAATTCAGCAAAGCGTTCGTTCCAACATCTTGGAGCTTGTTTAAGTCCATAGAGACTTTGCTTGAGTTTACAGACTCTTCCTGAATTATCTTTAAAACCTTCGGGTTGCTCCATGTAAATATCTTCATCTAGTCTAGTTTGCTGTATAGAAATGCTGTTGACACATCAAACTGCATGAGTGACATTTTTTCATTTGCAGCAACACTTAATAGTGTTCTTATAGTTGAACTTCTGACCACAGGACTATATGTTTTTTCATAGTCAATTCCCTTTTTCTGAGATAAACCTTTTACCACTAGCCTGGCTTTAAAACGTTCAACAGAACCATTTGGATTGTGTTTTACCTTGTAGACCCATTGCGTGGTATTGCCTTATGACCTTTTGGAAGACTTACCAAATCCCACGTTTGATTTTCCTTTAATGACTGCATTTCACTGTTCATGGCTTTAAACCATTCATCTTTTTCATCACTTTGAATGGCATCTTTGTAGCCCTCTGGTTCAAATACTTCACATAATGAAGACATAACAAAAGGATCATAACGAGATGGCTTTTTGATATTATTCCTGTCACGTAGAACCATACCTTTGGTCTTTTGATTAAAACAGTCAGATTGATTTTTTTAATCAGATGAAACTGAACTACGGTTGTGAACATCTTCATATGTTGAAATATTTTCTTTAATCAAAGTTTTTTTATTTTCATCTTTGATTTCAACATCAATCGAAACTGTATCATCTGAACAACTTTCTTCTTGCAAAATCACTGAATTTGGTTTGACAACCTTCTCATCAAAAATAACATCTCTTGATCGATGCATTTTAACACGTTTCTTATTCTGATGTCCCATTCGTTCATGGTATAACTGCAATGCATCTTGATCATTGACAAAGTTAACTTCAACTTCAGAATTCAACGGTCTAACAGTTTTTGCAACAAGTTTGAACAAACCTCCATTGTTGTTTCTTATTTCAACAACACTTGTCACATTGTCAATAAGTAGATGACAACTTCTTGAGGTTGAAACAAAAGAGCTATTTCTGTTCTTATCTTGAGTTGCAAGTACTGAGAACAAATTTCTTTTTACTTTTGGCACATACAAGGCATCTGTGAGTTTAACAGTTTGCCATTTATTATTCACTTTCACTTGAAAATGAATGATTCCTTTTCCAAAAGCTTCTACAGCATCACCATTTGCAGCATATAATTTACTCGGTTGAGAAAATTTTTCAAAACTGAAATATGTCTTTTCGAAAAGTTAGATGACACGTTGCACGATTGTCAAAAAAACCATTCATCAGTGTTTGCTGACTCATCAATTGCAAAAATACTTGATTCCATAACAAGTAGTGACTTATTGTCATCGCGTAGATTGTTATTTTTTGATTTTGCTGGTCTACCATCAGAATGCCATTTTTTACAATTTCTTACAATGTGACCTGGCAATTTGCAATAATGACATATCAGCCGCTTTGGTTTGCTGACAAATTTATCTTGTTTTTGACCTTTCATGTTTAGTGATGATGACCATTTAGTTGTTGCTTTGACAAATAATACTTTATTACTTTCAGCTTTGCCTTCCAAAGATCTCTCATAGCTACACAATTGATCTGCGAGTGTTTCAACTGTTCTTTCAGTCTTGTTCAACAATTTCTAACTTGCAGCAAATGAAAAATATTTTTCTGGCAGAGTTTCAATTATCTGACACATCAGCAACAAGTCACTGTTTTCATCTTTTCCTAACTCAACTTTTAAATCTTTCCAAAGATTCTTGAGTTTTGTAACATGAGTGACAACATCATCACCTTCATCCATTTTATAACTAAAGAACTTCATGCATAAGTTGTATGCTTTATTTTCATTAACTTTATCATACAACCTGTGAAGTTCTGAACAAACATCTCTGGCATTACTGAATGAACGAACTTTTTCATACGTATCATCGATCATGTTGGTTGACAGAATAATCATAGCACTACAATCTGCTTTATTAAATCTGTTCAAAACAGTTTGATATTTTGCTATCTCATCTTTATTTCAGTCATCGTTTAATTCATCTGGAACTTTTAATTTGCTATTTACTACGTTCATTGCATCAGGAATGCCGCGTAGTATTATACAAACTCTCGACTTCCAGTTCAACCAATTACTTTTGCCTTCTAGGTGTTTGATTTGCACTTTTGTTAGATCCATTTCTTCCTTGTCTTTCAAAAGATGAACTTTTAATTAGAAGTAAAATATCGACTTTCAGAGAATGAAGAAGCAAGTGTTTTTTCTTCAGTCTTCACAAAGAAGTCTTCCGATATTTCTTTATTCTAAATTTTTTTTGTCAAACCAATTAATTAAGAAAAACGTTATCTGGGCCCATAACCTGTTAAATTTCTTGTCACGTAGATCGTTTAATTAATTGGTATAATATTGAAAGACATTAAAAGAAGAGAAATAAACTAAGCAACGTTTTTGACCTGTTTATTATCAACCGGATCAACCGAAAAGGAAAAGTGAAGTTACATACAAAGCAAAGAACATTTGGTCCAAAGAAAATAAATGTATATCATAAATCATAATGTTTTAAAATAAAACCTAAAACTTAACAATTGCCACCAATCACACAGATAATCGTATAGAAACTTTAGACAAATTCGTAAAATCAAATTTCAGTTGAATAAAGTAACAGTCGTTGAAGCGTGTATTGAACTTATGACAATTAATGAATGTTCGTTTGAAATGATGGATTATTCAGGATTTAAAAAAAATTCTGCATCCAGTGATGTCCGCGATAGAAAACAATTTGTCCATAAATGCAGAAAATGTGAAATTAATGATCCCAGAAACTGCATCTAGTATAATTGGTAAAATAAGTTGTATTCTTAAGAATCAAATGATTCCTTTAAAAATTGATACAACCACTCGTCTAAATAGGTCAATTTTAGGGATCAATACTCAACTTTACTTTGGGAATGACAGAGTTACTTGAGTCTACATTAAGAATATGGTTGAAAAAATGCTGAATGAATATAACATGGACATCAAGCACATTTATTCAGTCACTAGGGGAGGGTGGGATACGTTGAGACATGGGGTACAGTGAGACAAATTAAATAATTGTTAAGCGGCACATAATTTTTTCTTTAGAGTTAACCTAATCTGTATTTTAGTAGAACCGGTATTTGACAATATAATTTTCTGCGACGAAAATCGTGAGTTGAGTTTTTTATTTCTGATTCTTGATTTTTTGACAGATTCCTAGACATGTTAATATTTGGTTTGGAATGTAATTGTTCAATTGTTTGTAATGATGCTGTAATCACTCCTGCATGAAACTTTGACGTTTCAATAAGGAATTAGTTCATATAGAAGCCAAATTTTTATTACAATTGGTTTCGGCACTACGTCAAATAATTATGTCAACGATGGGGCACAGTGAGACGTTTGGGGTACCTTGAGACAATAACAAAACTGATGTTAAACATGATTTTTTAATTAATAGAATAATTATTAAATGATTATATTATTATTATAATAATTGATTTGCAGACAAAAATGAGAAATAGGATAAGAAAAACCAGCAATGACATGTTTTCGGAAGAAATCATGCGTCGTGCTGTAGGCGAAGTAATGGATGGTGGTTCTTTACAAAAGGTAGCTCATGTTCATGGCTTGTCATTCCAAACATTGGCCCGCTATGTCACAAAAGCATCAGCTGCGCATCCTGGAGAAATTGTCAAATTCAAACCAAACTATGCAACTCGGAGAATATTTACGACAGAACAGAAAAAAGTCTGGAAGAATATATCTTGACAAGTTCAAAAATGATGTATGGAATTTCAACAAAAGAGTGTAGAAAAATTGCATACGAGATGGCCAAAATTAATAGAATTAGATTTCCAACAACATGGAAAACTGAAGAATGCGCAGGTTTAGAGTAGTTTAGGTTGTTCGTGAAGCTGCATCCATCTCTTAGTATTAGAAGCCTAAAGAATGCAGACTTTCACGGGCTACATCATTTAACCGACACAACATTGGTCAATTTTATAAAAATTTAGAAAAGATTTTCCTGAAATCACCACAGTTGGCAGATCCTTTTAGGATTTTTAATCTGGACCTTACTCATAATAAATTAAGTTCAACGTCTAGCTATACTGGACAGCTAGCACCTGTTACATTTTTAACGCCGGAGCAGTTTAAGGGATATCCAAAAGCAGGAAATAGAAAAACAAACAACATAGGTAGAAAAAAAAAGGAAGAAGTCTCATGGCTACTGACACCCCAGAAAAAGCTCTTCTGGAAGCTAATAATACAAATAATAGAAAATTAACACCTACATTGAAGAACAAAACCAAAAAAATGTTTATTAAAGGACTTTACTATAACAGATCCTAAGAAAGTTAACAAAAAAAAAATAGAAAAAATGCACTGTCAACCTATGAAGACCAGACTCCTTGTTCAACATATGGGATCAAGTATTCTGATGATACAAGTAGAACAAATTGGATACAGTGTGAACAGGTCACATGTTTGAGGTGGTATCATAATGCCTGCCAGGGTTCAGAAAAAAAGCACCAAAGTCTTTTACTTGTATTGACTGTGACAATAATTAAATTGATATTATATATGTTTGCTTCAACCAACCTCCTATTGTTTCTCAATGTGGACAACTATGGAACTGGTTGAGACAAAAAAATAAATTTTTGAATGTAAAAGAATAAAATAAAATTTGAATGTAAAAGAAAAGTTGTTATTAAAACAATAAAAGCTTGTTGAGATCACTTTATCTAAATCTAAGATTTTAGATATTGCTTTCTCTGTCAAAAAAAATGGAAGCAGTGCAACATCTAAAGTTACTTTAAAATAAACTAGTGTTTTTAGAAGAATATGAATTAGAACTTATAGCTCCAAGTGAGTGAATTGATGAGCCTGTGGATGAATTTAAAGAATTTCTAAAAAATAAAGAGAAGGAAATAATAAGATCTATATCTAATATTAACTCTTATTATTTTTAAACTCTTTTAAAAGATATTAACATAATTTTCTCCAACGTCTGGTGATGTTGATATAGAATATTTTTTAAAAAAGTTTGAAAATGTGCAGAGGTTAGACAAAAAAATGTGTTATTCAGTGTTAAGAATAAAGATAAATATCCTCAGTTATAAAAATTAGCGAAGGTAGTGCTTGGAGTTCCAGCTACGCAAGTGAGCGTGGAATGATCTTTTTCTGGATAAAAATTTATCCACAGAGACTGCAGATGTGGTTCAAATGAAAACATTTTAGAAAATATATTAATAATCAGAAAAAATTTTCATCTTTTTTTTTAAAACGGTCTTATATTTATATGAGTGATTTCAAAATATCACTGTTGTGATTCTTTTAATTTGTTGAAAAAAATATTAGAAACGTTTCCTTCAATACTAACAACAACATTTGAAAATCATTTTTGTCATTGATTTCTTATTATTCTTAGGTTGTAAAATTTAATTCAAATTGACATAGTGGTTATAGTGGGATGTCCATTACATTTATTCAAGGAATTATGCTTGAAAAAACTAAGTTCCGGAGCGGAACCGAAAACCAAAAAAAAAACGATATTTCAGGAACGAAAACCGGAACCAAACCGAAATTCGTTTTACTGATTGAACCGAACTGTAAGCCGAAACGAAAAAAATAACAGTTCGATGCTCTGACTAATAAAACACCTCTGTATGGCGACAGCATGAAAATGCTTATAAGTCCAATCACCAGTATAAAAGATCCAAGTGTTGCAAATGGAGAAGCAAAACCGCCTAACTATCATCATAAAACGAAAAATAAACATTTTAAGTTTTATTTGCGTAATTAATGATATTCGCTTGATAATTGATCAGTTTCAACATCAGTTAAAATTATATTGAAAAATTTAAACCGTTTACTTCATAAAGTGCGCCTCCTATAGGTGGCCCTGCCATCAATCCAAGCCCTGTAAACATTTCTAATGTACCCTAATAAAATCAAATCGTCAAAAAAGGCACTTTTATTTTTCAATTTTTATGTAAGTACCAACTAACAAACATAGTGGCTATATGCTTTGGAAAATTGTAGGCCATTATGGCAAAACTTGCAGTTCCGAATGCAGCCGCACCAAGTCCTTCAAACATTCGAACGATTAAGCAAAGAACAAAATAAGGGGTTCCATTGGGCGCTTTGTCAATTATGCTACGTTGCATTTAATTTGGTTATTTAATTTAAAAAGATTTCCATAATTCTTTTTGAAATATTATTTTATTATTTATTAAAACAATAATATTAGAACTATTGCACTGAATAAGAACTAGGTTAATTTAATCTGAAAAATTTGTAGACAAACCCAAATAATATAGAGCACACACCGCAGACAAAAATTCCTGTTATGTACATAAACTTTGCTCCAATCTTGTTTAACTATTGTTGTTGAAAATACATTTTTAATTTTTCAATTATTATCTCAAAAAATTTCATTAAAATAAAGATGTTGCATGGAGGTTATACATGCATTAAAAATAATTGCACACATTATGCTGGAAAATTTTACAAAAATCATCAAAATATACATTTTTGTTCGTTGAATTTGTTGAGTTTTTTATTATTTTTAATTCACAATTTGCAATTTAACATTGAAGCAGAAGCAAAATAATATATATATTTATCCTTATAATCATCACCAGCCATGTCATTTTACTAAACAGAAAATGTTTATGTTATAGTGAAAACAAGATAACATTAATATTATATTCTACAAAAGAAGCGACTTACATAATTTCCATAAAATGGTGAAACAATGATGAGAACTAATTCAAATGATCCAAAAACAAGGCCAACTTGTGTTGAGCTTATTTCCTTTTTCTGAGCCTAAATAATTTTAAAAACGGACAATTTATTCACTCATTATAATTATAATTAATTCACTACTTTCATTTTTTTTGTTCATATTCTAATTTATTAGCTTATGTTAACATTGGGTGTCAGAATACATTATGATAAATTCATTCAAATCTTTATTATTGCACAGCTTGAAGATTTAAAATCAACTGCAAAACCAACGTTTATAAAATGTATTGTAATGTACATTTGGAGAGGGCAACTTTAATGCCGCTAATCGTGCTTTGTTTTGTTAAAAAACGATTCTTTTACGATTTTAATAAACCACACAGTCTGCAGCAACTCTAATTTTTATATCAACGGGCAATGAGTTCTAAATGTTGGCAAAAAAATAAAAATCTAAAAAGGTTTTTTAATAGTTCGCACATTGAATTATACGAAATGAAGCCATAAAAATGCACTTTATCTGGTAGTATGGGCTGTGAGAGGGCGTAATGGTTAAGGTGCCTGGAATTGTTGATACAGTGTTCGTGTTCGATGGTGAAAAGATCCCCGCCTGTCAAATGCGAAAGTTGGTGATGCGTTGATTCACGTGGATTAGTATGCACAGTATGTTTTGTTGTAATAACAATAATGCGCCTCAGGCGCTTGCCGTGACGCTGTATAAAGTGACATTATCATTAATGAGACTCTGTTTCATAAGAATTATTGAATGTTAAACGTAGAATAGATGTCATAGCACTGAACCTTGGAGCACACCATGGCTCAACGCACAATATTTGACTTCAAAACTGTTTATTAAATAATAAATATTTACTAATAAAATGTTCAATAATCATCACACAAGAAACGCTATACAAATTTGGCATACTAATAACTGTTTTTTCTCATTTTAAATATGTTTCTAATTAAAATTAAATGAAAAATTGAACTATATATGATTAAATGAACTACATCTTCAAAAATTATAAATATTTAATTTGAATGAAAGAATAATTAATTAATGGAACAGTCATATATGATATGTGAAGAACATAAGAAGTCGCATGATGAATAACAGATTTGCTGTCTAAAACTAGTCACAAGAACTATGCACTTAAATCGAAAGTTTAATTCAATTTTTTGCCTACATTTTTTGAGAATTTTGATGTAGTAGTAGTAGTAGAAGTAATAGTAATCGGAGCAATTGTAGTGAAAGCAGTAGTAAATATTAATAGTATTTTTGTAGTAGTAGTTTTAATAGTGTAAGTAGTAGCAGTTTTAATTGCATAATTATTAGTTTGCGATTTTATTATATTTTCGTTTTAAAAATAATTGTTTTTTAGTAAAACATTATATTTAATTATAAATAGATTTACCATTATTTGTAAAGGTCAAATATGAAAAATCATGAAGACTAAAAATTACTAAATGTAAGAAGTGAAAAATTTGTAAAAAAAACTTTTGTCCTTTATTTTTAACACTCTTTTTATATTTTAAAAAAATTTATTATTTTATTTAGCCTCATTTGATTTTATGTTTTATAAAATAAAATCATCTGCTTGCTTGGAACTGAGTTGTTATTACAAATACAAATTTTCACGCTTGTTTAACATTTGCAATCTGTTATACTTAAACCACGTAAAAACATTGAAAAGTTGAAAAAAAATTTACTATGAATTACATCGATTTTTTAGTTTCTGGTATTAATTTGATGGCTAACTATCTCTTTTTTTTATACATAGGGTTTTACCTGTTAGTTTATGTTACTTTTATTAACCTACTTCGTTATCATAATTCAAAAAGTGTCCAGTCATTATTTTGCTGGCATTTTACTGTGAGTATATTTGAATGTGTTCACATGTACATACTTAATGGTTATTCTTAGTTACTTTAGAAACTTAATAATTTGTTTCATTTAATATCAGCCATGGCGGATTTAGGCTCTCGTTAACACTCAACAATCATTATGTTAACATCTTTTAAAAAATTAGCCAACATATCTTTTTGAATTACTTTTCATACATTAAAACTATTTTTTTATACTTGAAAACACCCTTTTAAACAGAACAATTGAAACAAAACTGGGTGATAAACTAAAAAAGAAAAGTTGTCAAGTATTCCCAGCTTTTGGCCCCCGTTGTCAATGTTGTCTAGATCCGCCCATAAATGAATTTTATCAAATTATTCTTGAAAATTTTGTCATGGAATAATCTTTGTTTTTACGTACGAAAACCCTTACAAATAAGGCCGTTTTGCTGGAGGCATAAAAATCCTTTTCTACATACGTAATTTTACTACCGTTCATCATATAATTCATATCATTATGACTATGGTCGTTTTATCATTACTTATAACTATAATCGTATAATAATAATAATAATAACTACTATAATTTTATGCAAATGCAATGATAGACGGTTAAGGCGATTGTTATTATTATTATGAGAACTTACAATTTTTTTTAATAATAACTATTATTATTATTATTATTAATTTTATTATTTTTTATTTTATTATTATGATTATTTATAATGTCATCAATTTATAGAAAAATAAAAAATTCTAACCTCTGTTGGAAAAAATGGAGCCAATATAGAGTAAAACAGACCATTGAAAAAATTTGCGATACAAAATGTGATGACAGTAAATAATTTTTTTCTGCTCATTTTGAATATATTAGCTGCCAAAAATTTTTATATAATTTTAATAATAGAATTTGAATGAACTCAAATACCGCTGTTACAAACGTTACAAACGAAGATCACTGCGTTTTCGCATTATTCGAATAATGCTAAAAACGCAATGATCTTTATAAATAATAGTATTTATGGTAGTCTAAATCGTAAATAAATATATATGTATATATGTATATATATTTGATATAATTTACCGAATTTTTAGCTTTACGCCGGTTGATCGTAGATAATTTTGTAAAGGCTGGAAGGAGACCATAATTGATGAACAAACATTTTTTTTCATAACAATTTCATGTTCCTTTTCTGAATTTTATTGCAGATATTTTTATTAATATTAAAACTATAATAATAATAGTTGTAAATCAATAAATAATGCACTGACGATGACAATTTTTTTTATTGCAGCTTAACGTCGTTTCAGCATGATGCGGCTATTTTAACGCCCTTTAATCATTAGAAACTGATTATTTTGCTGTGTCATCTAAAAAACTTCAAATTTTGTTGATGAAATCTATCTACTCCACAAATGAAATCAAGACATGGCTTCTATTCTGGAAGAGCAATTCTACATTTGATGGAACCCCGAGTTTCCTTCTGATCTGATCGTATTTTTCACAATCAGTTAATATATGCTGAATAGACAGTTTTTTGTCACAGGCTTGTTTTGTTGAGGATCCAGGAATATGTGATTGCTGAGTGTCCTATTTTTAATCTATTGATAACAGCCTGAAGATGACGATTTAAATAACTATTTTTGAGCTTTTTGTTATTTACTGATGGCATACTTAATTTTAAAAAATTTGATGTTTTATTCCACTTCTGCTGCCATTTTTCAACAATAAGGTTGTTTGTTAAATTTTTTAAATCACTGGTCGGAGTTGGTACTCTAGATAATGGCATCGAATGAGCTTGAGAAGCCATCTGATCTACCTTTTCATTTCCTTCAATTCCAATGTGGCTGGGGATCCACATTATAAATATTTTTTTTTGTTGCTATCCTGGATATTATGAATCTTATTTTGCATTTGAATTAATAATGGATTTAGAGGTTTGTATTGCTTCAGGGCTGATAGAGTAGACAAGGAATCCGAAAATATTATGAATGATGACAATTTAACGTCGAAATAGATATATCTTCATTAATTTTAATAAAATGTTTGTTAATAGAAATAAAGTTTCAGTTTTGAACAGATTTAATTTTGCAGATAAAAATTTGAAAATAAGTTAATAAACACTAAATAAATCGGTAGAATTTATTACACACACTCATACACACCACACACACACTTACACACACATATATATACACACACATGTTCTATAAATTCTACCGAATGTTTGGCGTTAATAAGTTTGTAGTTCGTTTTTTCGATTTTTCTCACTAAAGTTTTTTGGTGAACGTTTAGTTTATTAAAATTCAAAATAAACTTATTTTTCGAATTCATGCTGCAAATAAGGCCATATTTCGATTCCGAATGAATCATCATCAGTGCTCCTTGCTGTATATATAGGGAAATATTGACTTTGTCAAGATGAACTTTGACGTTGTAAAAATTAACTTTGGTGTTAAAACTAAAACTTCATAAAAACTGACCAACCTGATAACCAAAGGAAATAACAATATTATAAAAGATAGATTCATCATCAAAACTAAAACTTCATAAAAAAACTGACCAACCTGATAACCAAAGGAAATAACAATAT